GATTGTGGTTGTTGAGGAGGTGGTTGTTGAGAGGGTAGTGGAGGAGGGGGTTGAGGGGGTGAGAGAGGAAGTGGTAGTGGTGTTGATAGAGGGAGAGGTGGAGAGGACAGGAGGAGCAGAGGAAGGGAACGACCCAGGGAGGGGCGAAGGCGGCTCGTCCTCATCATCTGCCAGTGCTTCAGCTTTCTCCGGCAGCGGAAGCGCAGACTGCTCGTGCTCGCGCTCTTCTTCCTCGTTTTCGCTGTTGGCCTCGGCCGCCTCTTGAGCTTGAACTTGAACTTGAGCTTGAGGTTCGACATCCGTGACCGCTGTCTCCTGCTCCTGTTCGTGCAAAAGCTCGACCCTCTCGGCAGTATTGACCGCCCAGAGCGGCTTCGGTGTGCTACCTGCACATACTCTGTCCTCAGGCAGTCCCAAGGCGTCCACCCTCGGCGACACAGGCCTCGATCTCGCCTTCCTCACATCACCTTCGCCCGTGCCTCCTTCCGCCGGCGAGACGCGCAGGTTCCCCCGACTCGGTCGAGGAGAGATAGGGCTTGGTCTCGGCGAAACGGGAGACGCACCCCCACTGGAAGGCCCGACCCTTACTGACAACGGCAATGCCAGCGACAAAGGCGAGACGGGCGGCGGCGAGGCGGGCGGGGTGGGGGTCTGCGAAGCCGCCGCGTGTGCTGGCTTTTGGCCGGGTTTGGAGTCTGCGTTGGCGTCGCGGTCGGAGCTGGACGAAGGAAGGCAGGCGGAGTCTGGATCCGATGGAAGGCAGGGTGTGACGTCGATGAGGATCTGGGGACGTTCGGAGTGAGGAAGAGGGAGCTGGGATGGTAGAGGAAGAGGGAGGAGCTCAGGGTCCGGGTACACCCCCACCTCCTCAACTTCAGCGAGACTAGCCGACGCTGGCGCGTCGAGCAGGTCGGTATCGAGCAGGATTAGAGGAAGGGGTGGCGAGGGCGGTGTTTCGGGTGCGACTTCAGGCTCTGTCTCTTCTTCAGAGGGGTACACCAGCGCAGGACTTGGACCTTCGCCTTCTGCCAACCTCTCATAGAGGAGGACCGACTCCGGCTCAGGCTCTGGCGCTGACTTGGGGACGCCATCGATGTCTTCGTCCTCGTCCTTCAACACAACCCTTCCGACTACCACCACCTCTTCCGAACGCCCCTCTACCACCTGCTCGACCTCTCCACCGACGCCAACGTGTCCGACCCAGGGATCCTCTTCCTCCTCGTCCCATTTCCAGCCCTGCACCCCAACCCCGTCTTCGGTGCCAGCTCCAGCTCCAACCCCAGCACCAGTCTCACCAGCCCCCAGGTCAAAGTCGAACACCGTCATGTCATGGTCTACAGACGCGGAGACGAGGGGTAGGGGCGAGACGAGGGCCGAGAGTGAAAGCTCCTCTGCTGGAGCCGCAACCGGAACCAGAACTGGAGCGGCGGAGGGTGGGGCGTCGGGCTCTGAGTGAGAGGCTGATGGAGGACAGGCCGATGGAGAAGAGGAGAACAAGAGGCCGTCGCGTGGCTCGACGGGTACCTCGAGCTGGATGACCGCAGTTTTTGGTAGCTGGGCCTGGGCTGAGATAGAGATGGGGATGGGGACGAGGTCTTCCAGCGGGTGATGGATGAACGCCGGCGCGGGTGCTGGGGTCCCAAGAGTAGCCTGAGGCTGAGGCGGAGGGCGGGCAGAAAGTGCAAGAGGAAGAGAAAGAGGGAGCGTCGTCGCGTTTTCGTGAGGATGATGATGGTCGTTGTTGGGGTCGTTGTTGTGTTCGTTTTGCTCGTGTTCGTGCTCATGCTCGTGCTCATGCTCGTGGTTCTCGCGCACGCTAACTTCTACCAACGGCGCTACCAGCGCTGCTGTGGCATAGGCGTCACTGAACAGATCCTCTCTCAAGCTCAGTGCTCTTGCATCCGCGTTCGCGCTTGGGCTTGGGACAAGACCGGTAGCCACAGCTGCGGAGGAGGCAGAGGAGGAGTAGGAGTCGTGGAGGTCGTGGAGGGTAGCTTCATTTTGGGCGGGTGGTGATGTGGGCCGGACATCGACGAGGAGTCCTTCGTCCTCTTCCTGGTGATACGCCTTCTCCTTCTCGCGGTCATGATCGTGGTGGGAGTAGAGCTCGAACTCAACGAGCGTCTTGGACGAGTCGAGCGGGTCGAATGCCTGTCCTAGTTCTCCCAGTCGTCCTTCCTTCTGCGCGTGGTCGTGCTCGTAAGTGTACTCGCCGTCGACGTCGACCAACCTCTCCTCCTTCTCCTTCCTCTCCTTCTGTGATAGCCCTGGCACCACCACGGGTACTGGCACTTGAGGAGCCCAAGCACTAGCGTTCCAAGCCTGCACTGACACGGGTCGTGGTGCAGGCTGGGGTGTGTAGATCTTGGTGTGGGAGGGGGTGGGAGGGCCGAACCATTTCCAGGCGGCATCGTTGTCGTCGTCCTGGCCGTCGTAGATGTTGGTGTTGACCGGGGGATGGGAGGAGGGAAAAGAGGCGGAGGACGTGAAGGAGGAGGAGGGGAAGGAAGAAGGGAAGGGAGAATCACTTAGGTCGACGAGCGGGACGAGCGGTACAGGGCGTGTTGGGAGGATGGTAGACGCGGTGCCGGTAGAGGAGGAGAAGAGAGAAGAGGGAGAAGAGCCGGGGAGCTTGAGGACGCCGATGTCCGACGCGGCGGGGGATATGCGCGTCTTCTCGTTGTCGTCCTCTGACTCTGAGGACGTACGCCCGGACGAGGTACCAGTACCAGGGTAGGAGGAAGACCCAGAGGAGGACCCGGAAGAAGAAGAAAAGTCGATGAGCAGGCCTTCGCGGCTCGTCCCCCTCGTATGCCCTGCCCGGAACTCCCTCATCTCCAAATCTCCTCCCTCCAAGTCAAAGTCGACCTTGTTCCGCAAACCCGAGTTGCCACTGGACAGCCGGCGGACGGGCACGCCGCCGAGGCTCCTGCTGCGCTTGTGTTTCGAGGGCGAGGTGGTGGCGAGTAGGGCGTGGGGCGAGGGCGCGCGGATGCCTTTGTACGCGAGGTAGTGCGAGGGGGAGGGCGTGCGGGGGGAGATGGGGCCGGTGGAGGCGGAGGCGGAAGGGATGAGAGGAGGCGTCGGAGGGGTGAGGTCGACGAGGGGCCCGGTGGGCGTGGGTGTCGAGGCGGGGTGCGGTGGGAGTCCGGTGGTGGGCAGGAGCTCGACACTCAGGTTCTTCTTGGGTAGCGTGCTGGTGTTTGAAGTGCCCGACTTCGACGACCAAGGTACTCGGGGCCAGGGCAGCGACCAACCATTCCATCTCGCACGAGCACGAGCGAACGAGAACGCGGAGCGGGTCACAGAGCCCACTCCCACTGGGTTCGGTAGCGCTGCACTCGCAGCCCCATCTCTCCCCCTCCTTCGTGTGATAACGACTCTGTATACGAGCTAGCAGGCAAGGGCGGCGAGGAGGGCGTACCCGATGGCGGGCAGCAGGCTCAGCGCACTGGCAGAGAAGTCAGTCGGGTGAGCTGGAGGAGAGATAGCAGGGGACATACCTTTGCGAGGCCATGGGTGTGGATGTGGATATGGAGGGTGCAGCAGACCCGCCGTGCAGGCGAGAAAAGGCGACCAACACGCGACTGCCAGCACCCACACACGAGGTATTTTTAGCCGCAAGTCATGTGGGATTACGTCATGCACGCGGCTCGGCTCGGACACGGGTAGGATGCACGTTTTCGCTCGCGTTTTATTACTTTGTCTCGCTTAGACCTGTGACCGTTCCCTCTATGAGGTGACGACTCCGTAGGACCTCGATAGAGGGACCTGTACAGCTTAAAGAGGAAAAGGCGTTGCACGTGCACGTCGCGTCGTCGCGTCGGTAACGCGGCTTGACTGTTGATTTCAACCATCCTCTGCCTTGCACGTCTACCTACTGGATGTCTCTTCCAAACTCATCACAAAACCAAGTCTACGCGCTTCAGTCTGCATTCGGCATCACCACCTCACGGAAATCAGTCGGTACCGCCAATCCCGCACCAAATGTGTCGCCCCAATCCTGTTTCGCACTTGCTGGAAGTGTGGGTGAATCCCGCAACCTTGCCCGACGTCAGAGGGCCCGTACTTCCTCACGGACTCAAGAACCAGTCGATTTTCAGATCACTGGCGCGAAACGAACTCGGAGAATGTCATCGACAACCGCCGAAGCGCGACCCTCATTGGCTGGCTGGCTCTTCCAAGAGTCTCTACTAATACTTTGCGAGATCTGCCTGGAAGAACGAGGGGAACATTGGATGACGCGGATAGAAACAAGAACGGGGCTGTGGGACGTCAGTTCAGTGCTGAGGCAGCTTCCGAGTACTGTGATATCTTTGCTTTCAATGTAGATGCACTTACATCCTATTTTGTGTGATCAGAAGTTCTTGAGAGCCATCAAGCACCCGAATGTCACCTCTCGTTGCGCCTATTCTAGGAAATGATTTTCTCGGTGCAGTCAGAGAGCAACTATCCACGTTCGCAATGACACTGAGTGCCGACTTCCAGTCGCCGTTTCCACCCAACAAGATTGCCGGGGCCCAACACCTTCCACCAGCCACCTATCTACCCCCTCTGACTTTCTACTATTCTGGTGTGCACGGCTTAAGGTCAACGAACAGGGCGACAAACATTTTGGAGCGAGTTCATTGCACACCGAAGATGCCACGAATGTTTCAATTCAGAGGTTACTTCAGGATCTCCACGACCTTGAATTAACCGTTCAACTCGCCTTCCTCACTGGTGATAGAACGCGACGGTGGTCTCTCGAAAGGTTCTTAATTATTTTCTCCGTGAAAGAATGCAACCACGCCTCACTACCACTGGTCGTGATTTTCGACATATTCCTAAAAGATGAAAAAGGTGGACAACAGCGACGTCGACAGCACCTTGACAGTACCAGAGCCTCCATCCCAGACAGCCGACACATATTTCGCGCGAAGTCCCATCGATGCGCATTTAGGTCAAAGAGATGGGAAGCCGGAATAATGTACAAGGACAGAGAAGTGAAGTCAAGACGCCTACACGCTTTTCTTTCAGGTGAATAGATTCCAGAACGCCAATTACTGTAGATGGTATCATACTATACAAGGTAATTCTTTCGAAGGATTCCTGACAGACGTCCGATCATAACCGCTACCCTTTTCAAACTCAGCTACACCAGTCGGAGAATCGAGGATTCTCCCCCTCTCTCGATCCTCATTCTCCGGCTGGTCACGAGTCTATGTCTCGCTTACGAACCTTCATCGGCATTCCCAGTCCTACTTGGCCTTCGAGAAACGGTCGACTGGTCAGGGAGCCGTCCTTCCCATCCCTCATGCTCCATCAGTCTTATCCGTGCCTCTCCTACCACCTCGACGCCACAATCGCGTCTTCTGCGCTCATCAACAGAAGGGACTCTTCATCGTGATCCTACCAAGGTATCCCATTTCTCTTTCCCACTTGTGCTATTGACCAACTTACCTTCTCGTAGAGGTCACCCCATCGTTGCGCAACTCTCGTACACTGTTCGCGTCGCCGTCCAGCTCCCCTTCCAACGTTCCAGGGCCGTACGAGTATCAAAAGCTTCAAGGAGGGTGATGCGTCCAGCCCTCGAGCTCGCCGTTATTCACCACCAACACCCAAGTGTTCGTCTTCTGACCTCTTTCGTCCGCCAATACGACCATCTTCAGCCGCTCAATCGCCGACTCCATACCTCACTGTCCAACGCTCTCTTGGGTCGAATCGACGCCGAGGGCAAGGGCGGTATTGCTTGAGGTAGTCGTCGACGTTCGAGTTCGTGATGCAGCAAGGGGAACCACGGCGAGGAGACCCCCGGCACTACCCCATGACATATGGATGCAAACACCGAGTCAGCAGGCACCAGTGGCACCGCCGAGGGAACGGCGATATCTTGTTCTACGTGCTTCGGGGAGCAGGAGAGATATCTAAAAAGGGGGGGTAAGTGTGCTATTTGTGGGTTTCGTGCGCCTTGCTTACCTTTCTTCTTCTAAGCTTTCGTGTACGGTGCAGCTGATGACGAATGGCTAGGGATCGGTTGTCTGAAGGGGTGCTGCATGAAGTTCGAGCTTACCTGTCTGCCGGCACCACCCGTCCAACCTAGGCTAGGATGGCGGCATGGCGGTGTTGCAGTCGATGGACGCCAGAGGCTGTACGTGAGGTCAGTGGCCAGTCATCGTCATATCCATTTACACAAATGGGGTGCTTACCTGCCTTTTCAGAACCTCTGACCATCCCAGCAAGTAGATGGGCGGCAAAGTCTTCATACAAGTGTGCGGGGTGTCAGCCCCTTCACTGCATTATGAACGGGCTACTTCACCTGTCGTGTTGGATGTGTGACCTGCTCGTGCTCGTCTGTCGTGGGTGCCGGTGTTTCGTGCGACGTGTGTCTGGTGCCTGATGCTAGAGGTGGGGTGTCAGACGTCAATGGGCGGTCCCATCCCAAAGCTCACGACCTTTCATACCGTTAGGTAGATGCGACAGTGGCGAAGAGCTCCTGGCGTCGAGGTCGTCATCAAGTCAACGATTTGAGGCCAAGCATGGCCTACTCGCCCGAGGAGAAGCTGGGACTCGGAGACTGCAGTAAGTTCACGAAGCACCTTTTGCTCGCGTTTTACTTTGTCTGGTTCACGACCTTGTACTGCGTCAGGCCCATTGGGTGCGCAACGTAGAGTCGTAGCAGTATACGCATAGCTGTAAACGTGAAAGTATTACGACAACTTCAAGCATTCGAGGAAGAGCTTGCAGATGAACGTAAGTACATACAGGATGTATCTTGCTTGAGTCTGGTTAGTTGGGCTGCACAGTGGAGACAATGATCCCACTTCGACTTGACAGTCCTCCTTCCTAGGCCTTCTATAGGCTGCTGCCGGCGCCAAAACTCACGCATCGGAAAAGGTGCCCAACTCCTTTTTTCCCCTTCGTCCACCTGGATGATTGATTCATTATTCAGAGAGCCTAGGTGTTCGGGAGTCAACCTGAGCTCGAGTTGAAGCATTCAGAAACGGAGTCACTGTGCCTGTCTCTGTCTCCGCCAAATGAGAAGAAAATATGGAATGTCCCGCCTGCTGGCACGAACGATTTCGTTGTGCCTCTACAAATTCTGATGCAGGGAGCCGGATCCCAGAAGATCCAGAACGTCCTCTGATTTGCGACTTCTCATTGCACTCCCAATTTTTTACATTCCCTCGGAGCTCCGCCTCACTTCCGTGAGACTCGAAGTGCATGTGCAACACGTCAAGTGGGTATGTGAGTTGGGATGGGGGGTGCGGGAGAGGGGAACGGAGGGCCGCTCTAACCCCACCGTGGACACATCCCCTGCTCTATTTCTCTAGGCAAGAAGACAGGAAGACAAAAAGCAGGAAGTTTGTGTGTAAGCCCACCAGACGGACCGCGTGTTTCGATGAGAACTGGATTCTTGGCTTCCGCCCGCTTGAGCGCGAGGGAATTCTTGCACGTCGTGTGTAAAAGATACTTGGAGTATGGGGATGAGCGGGAGGGCCGCAGGAATCCTCTTCGATTGTACAGTCTGAGTAAGACCAAGCCTTCGAATCTCACTCGTATATCGTCGACGAAGCTTGCTTGATTCGTCTAGGAAAGTTGTATAAAAGCGGCGCTTGATGAGATGCCTCCCCTCCAGAGTTCAGGCTCGTTCCCCTACACTTGATTGAAAGCGATGGCTTTCCGCTCCTTCCCAACCACGCTCCTTCCTTTCTTTACACTCTGTATACCCACCTTGCTCTCGGCGCTCCTCGCCACCGTGGTCATAAACGGACCGCTCCCAGTCAAAGCGGCACCCCCGAACAATACGCTCTACATCATCTCCAACGCCGAGACGCCGTCGCTGCGCCTGCCCGGTCTGACGCCTGTCGGGCTTACGCGGGTGCAGGAGTGCCTTCCGCCGGTGAGTTTCCCCTCTTTTCTTTCGTCGTTGGAGGTCAGGACCTGAGTGTGTTTTGGCGGATAGTTGTTATCACCGCTGGATATTGGGTTAATTATTGCGTGCCCGTTCGACCCCGACTCGGGCCTGTGCAAGCAGACGGAGGCGACGGCGCGTCCGACGGCGGAGTATATTGGGTTGGAGGTTGATACTTCGTGGTACGTCTGTGCCTTGTGGTTTTTGAGAGACTGGCAACCAGACTAAATGGAATGCCTAACGGCGTGCAGTGGAGCAGACGAAGAGACGGACGACGACTGCGTCCCGGACTTGATCAAGGAGTTTGGGAGGAACAGCACACAGAGTGTTCTTATCGTCTGGGTGAGTACGAAGGGCTCCGTCGTTCAGCACAGATGCCCTGGGACTGATTTGGGCTGTGTCACACATCGCAGGATATCAACGACCTCGACTCGCTCTTCGAGAACCTCGACGTGGATGATGACTGGGAGGACGACGACGACGAGGAAGACGAGCTGTCCCAGCAGTAAGTGCAACCTTCCAGTCTCCCTTCGAGGATGCTAAAAATTCATTTCCGCCGTCCAGCCACGACGTACTGTATACCGTTGTCAAAAGGCGCGTGACGAGCATCGTCTCACAGGGCTGCGCAGGGATCGACGGGCAGGCTCCGGGGACGTTCAGGAAGCGGTCGTTGACTTATCGGGGGCTTGCGCAACGAGAGGAAGCGCCATAGCGACGCAGAGAAAATTTCTAGTGCCCAGGACTTGGAAAAGCGAGAAGAGGAGATAGGGCATGACTTCAAGAGGATGGAGAGGAGGAAGAGGAGCCAGGAGGAGGCCCAGAAAGAGGTTTACAGGCCCAGGAGGGCACATCCGAGGGTGACAAGAAGGCACTAGGCAGCGTTGAATTGGCGTTGAACCGAGGAGGACCGGGGAGAGTGGAGCAGTGGAAGTCGTGGTGTGAGAGAGACTCGAGGCCAGGTGGTGGCCGCCCGTTCATTTCAAAGAATACCCTCGTTTGCGTTTGAGACTCGTTTCAAGATTATTATTAGCACGTCAGGACAAGTTTGTAGTGTTTGTAGTCAATTTGTAGTCCCGTTTTGTAAGGACTATGTAATACTTACGTAAACCTAACCCTCTTCCCTCATCCTCGTCGATTTTGACGATGCCGCCGCGCTCGTCGCCGTCTGCGCGCTCAGGAGGCTTCTACTTTCCCCCAAACGACAGTGCGACCTACCGGGACCTGCTACTCTTCGAAGAGCGCCTCAAGACGAACGCTGCGAACCTGAAGCGGCGGAAACACAAGTACCAGTGTACGTCTGATCCTTTCAGATCGATAGCGCCATCTCACCCACTCCCAGTGTTCCTCTTCCAGCTCCTCTTCGTGATCGTCTTCCTCCTCTGCGAGGTCATCCTGCCGCCGCATATCTCTATCCTCGCCATCCCGTACAAGTTTGTTTCACAAAGGATCCTACCGGATGTCTACACTGCAGAGGTGGAGGTGTACGTACACCCGTATTTATCGACGGGGCTGCTGTTCGTGAGTGTGACGACGCTGTTGCTGTTCTTTGCGAGTGGGATGTATTCGGAGAAGATTGGGTATGCGAATAAGTGAGTGCCTACACATCTGCTTGCCTGGTGTTGAGACGACTAGAGCTAGAGGGCTGAGTTACGGCTTAGATACGTTCCGCACGCCAACCGCGCTCTGCGGTCGTTCAACATGTACCTGAACGTCCGCAAGCCACCGCTAAGCTCCAAGATCAAATGGAACCCGCTCGGCTTTTTCTTCCCCGGCCTGCCCCCTCCTCGCCCTCACCCTCACCCACAGCCCCTACCTCCCGTCCCACATCACCCTCACCCACTAGTACACCCACTCCCTCATCTCCCACCTCCCCTTCCCACTCCCGCACCCTATCCACATTCCCCAACCTCGTCCACTCATCATCAACAACTCAAACCCGTTCCTCAAGATCCCCCTCAGCCCAGCGTACCCGCTCCCCGTCGACCACCCGCCCCATCCACACCATCCCGCCCGCCTCAAATCCAAGAGGCGAGCTCATCTTCTCCTCACGCGTCGACCGCGCGTTTCGCGAGGCGTATGAGCGGTATCGGGCGGCGTTTGAGCGGAGGAGGGAGGAGAAGGAGTGGGAGGAGTGGCGGAGGGGGTGGGTGGGCCGGGCGCTAGGGGGTGTTGGGTTGATTAGGGGGCCGACGCCTGGCGGTGGTAGCGCTGGAGAGAGGGAGAAAGGAATGGAGAAGGAGAAGACTCCACCATCCAGGACGGTGTCGAATGCATCTGCAACGGGATCGGTGAGGGGCCGGCCATCGCGCCCGACAACGCCTAACACCAACGCCAACACCAGCCCGAGCCATGACTCTGCGGCAAGAGGTATCATGATGAAGCAGCGCGACAGGAGCAGGAGCAGGAGTCGGAGCGGGTCGCCCCTCCGAAGGGGCGTCTCGCCGCCTAGTCCAACTTTTAGTTCATCTCCTGGTACGACGTATACGAGGGAGAGGGAGAGGACGCATAGCTCAAGCTATGGTGCAGGGTCGGAGTCGAATGTAAGGAGCCATAGGGAAAGAACTCCCAGCTCTGGGTCGAGGAGGGACTACGCGCATGAGTCGCTCGCGCCGGGGGTAGGAGACGTAGATACGAGGGACGCAAGGGACATGCGAACGGCCGTCCTAGATAGGAGCGTCAACGTCGGACATGGCCATGGACAAGGATATCGGTAGTCTTTGTACTGAAGTATAATTTTTTTCTAGCTTATGGTATGGTATAGCGTTGTGATGTGGTAGAACGAAAGGTGGTACTAATGCACCATGAAGGGTGTGGACGTGAATTGAGTTGATCAAGATCAACTTAGGGAGCGGTGGGTGAGCCTGTGTAAGGAAAGAGGGATGGGGATGGGGATGGGGATTTGGGATTTGTGCGTGTTCGTGTGGCAAGGGTAAGGAGATCCTGAGTACTGGATTGGGAAAGTGTGGCGCTTTGAGGGTTGAAATCGAAATCAGATTCGAGTTCGAAGAGCGCGGCGAGCGGCTCGTCAAAGCACGTCCTCCAATGCAATTCGATTTGAAGCGGTCGCCGCTCTTCAGATCACTAGGCTCGTCGTTCTTCGGCATCGCGGCCCTCCTCTCTGTGTGCGAGCAGAGAAATTTAAAGCTCGATCCCTCACCGCACCGCGTTCAAGCAAGCGACGAGCGCTCGCGCTTCGGATTCTACAGTGACTACCTGCCCCAGCGCTAAAAGTCCCCTGGTGCTGGCTTTCTTGTTTGAAGCCGTCAGCACCGTTCGACGTGGTGTGGGGACCTCTTGTCACCGGGGCCGAGGACGGCAGGCATGGATTACTGAAGGGACAGAAATTTTAGGCTTTTATTTTATTGCAACCTTGCTATCGAAAATACTGAAGAGACATCACAACGCGGATGAAAACGGTACGAATTGGAATTTCGAATCTCTGTGTCAACTCCAGAGCCAACGGTCTCATTGGGGGTTCAGTGAAACTATTATTCAAGGACATCACGCAGATAGAGATGTGAAAGAGCTCAATAACACTTTTAAATTTTTTGACCTTGTATGTACAAAATTCGTATCCTCGGTATATAAATACTTGTAATACTTGTGCTGAGCAGACCCGGAACCATCTACTGACATTGGCTGTACCAGTCGTTGAGGACGACACAGGTCGAGCCGCTGACGCAGGCGGTCGGTCCGCTGTAGCCTTGGCCACCGCTAGAAGAAAGAATAAAGTAAGCCTGAGCATGAGCGAGAGTGAAAAAAAATGGACACACCATTGACCCCATTTGGTCTGGGCAGCACCAGGAGCGGAAGTTGTCGTCGTGGGCGGGCTGCCGCCGCCTCCGGAGCCGGTCGAGCTGAACGTCGAGCCAATATCGCCAACCTTGATGTTCGAGTAGGTCACCGACGCGTCCGGATGGTTGGCCTCGACGTCCTCCGGGTCCCCACCTGTCGTGGGGCATGTCCCGCGGGCCGCACCTGGGGCAGTCGAATCAACAGGATAGGTCGAGTCGAGCCAGAGCATGTGCGCGTGGTGGTCGTCCCAGATCGACAGTGCGAGCACCATCCCGTTCTTGATCCCTGACGCCATCCCGTTGATGCCCCCCTTGGCCGCGAAGCTGTTTGTGTCCCCGAACGCCGTCTTCTGGTCCCTGCAGAAGTCCTCCGTGATGCTGTCGTAGTCGGACGACATCCCGGGGATGTTGACCTTGGAGTTCTGCACGACCCGCCCGTCCTGCACGTAGATCCGCCGGATCTCCTTGAGCTGCCCGTTCGTCGTCCCGTCAGTGGAGATGAACTGGGTCACGACGGTCATCTTCTTGGCCGTGTCGATGACCTTGCCGGGGCCGTAGAACTCGGTGTTGCCCATACGGTACGAGTTGAAGTCGCAGCCGTCGGGGTCGCACACGCCGTTGTAGCGCTCGGTGGGAGTATTGCACTCGGCGCCGGAGCAGCGGTATTGGCCCGTGACAGTGCAAGGATGTGGGGTGTAGGCGGTGGAGATGGAGTTGGCCTCCCAGATATCCATCTCGTTGCAGCATGTACCGAAGCTACCACTGCCGCCGTTGGGATCCGTCTCGGAAGGCTGCCAGCCCTCGACGTTCGCCTGAAGAGTAACTCAATATTAGGACCAAGAGGTAAAAAGAAAGAGCAAGCTCACCTCTCCGTTGATCCACTTGATATCCTTGGGGCACTGCGAATCGCAGTATCCGGTTCCGTACTTTGCACCGGCCCTATTCGACGAGAACCTTGACATGCCACCGTCCGCTTCCATCTCAGAGAAGTAGAGGGCCCCGTTGAGGCCACACGGCAAGTTCGAAACGTCGACGTCGAAGGTGAACTCCTGGTTCAGGAGCTTGAACATTTCGTACTGTGTGTCACTCGACATGAGGTACACGCGCGAACCGACGTTCTTGCCGTTGGTGTTGGTCGTGACGAACTTGAGGGTGAGCGCGTTGCCACTGACGGTGATGCCGTACGTGGCAGAGTAGTCGGCGCCGTCGACCGCGCAGTTGCTCGCGCATGTCCTAGCGTTCGGGCACGCGGTGGCGTTCCATGCGTTCCCGGTGTAGCAATTGGTGTAGCCGTTGCTGACGTGCGTCCAGCGCCAGTTCGAGTCGAGCACGACCTGGCCCTGGGAGACTGTGGTGCATCCGCCACCGGTCGTGCAGCGCTGGAAGGGGAGGCGGGGGTGCGTTTCGGTCTGATAAGTACCGACGAGCTGACCGTAGGCGGTGGCGCCGAAGGCGAGAGCGAGGAGAGCAGATTTCGGGAACATTGCCGAGGTGTTTAAACCGGTGCAGTTGAATAATTGAACTGGTGAAGAGCGCTCTCGTCGCTTATCTAGTTTTTATACGCCTCGAAAGCGGAGAAAGCCCGGGCTCGCTCGTAATCTTTGGTTGGAAAAGCCAGATATCAGTGAGCGGGGAGAATGAATGAATTTTGAAGGAAGGACCACGACGACGGAAGGCAGGACAGATCGAGCCCGAGTTGGCGGCTTTTCGGAAAGTGAACGCGCCCAGCCAAAGAGGTCGTAGAGGCGCCAAGAACGAAACTAGCTCCTTGGCTGTCATGAGAGCGTGTCTGCGTCTCGACTAGAATCGGCCTGTGGTGCCCAATATGCTGGTGATTGCAGCTGTTGGGTCAGAGAAGCAGGTAACGTCCATCAGCGTAAGACCGGGGTACAGCCTAAAAATTAGCCGAGAAATAGGCGCTTGCCTTCGGTTAACGAAGAAAGTATGTTCGAGGTCTGAGGGCCGCTTTCGAAGTCGACTGCATCCTCTTGGCACCTCCCGGCCGGTTGGCAGGTAATCGATAAATGGCAGTCGAATGGTCAGGCATCCGTTATCGAGAACAGTGTCCAAACGAGGATGAACTTGTTACCGACCAACCAAAGGATTCTCCGCTCGGAGGGAGATCGAATGGTAGTTTTACGAGAACTGTATTCCCGCAGAAGAAGTGATGTCCTAGAGAAGTGCCTATTGAATAGATGAACCATCAGCTGGAGCTCTTCTAGAGTAACGAAGAGGAGATTCTCGCGACGTCGACAACGCTGTTGCCGCGAAGGAAAGTCCGAGAGTGGAGAGTCAGCGATGCAGGGTGGTCATGGGTCATTGATCAGGTCGATTCTGGCGATGGTCTGCGGAACGATAACGGTAGGTTGGATTGTCATGGGCTTGTGTAGGAGATTTCCAGGAGAAAGGGATGCAAAGATGATAGATGGAGCGTCAAGCTGGCGTCCGAAACGATCTTGAGAATATAAGAGCGGTGGAATGGAATGGAAGGGAAGGGGAGAAGTGGGAGAAACTGTTCATCCAGCTGCAAAGGGTCGATTGAGTGGACCAAGGCACGATTGGTTGTCAAAAATCAGCATATTAGGCGTCAAGCTGAGGGACAATAACGCTTACCTGAACAGCCAGCTCGGCGGCCCAGTTACATCGAATCCGTTGTTGTAAGAGTCATTAATTCTGCAGAGCTTTGCTCCAAGGCTTATTCTATTCACAGGATTCAGCGTTTCGAAATGCGACAGCCCGAATCGTGGAATGATACCACGTTATCATGTCACCCAAGGCGGTTGAGGATTAAGGTGCGCCCGGTGTCAATGAGTTTCGGTCGCGGATCGCACTCGGCGACACGAACGCGGATGACGAATCCGCGAGAGAGAAGCGAAATAGGGCTATAACCTTGGGTTCATACCCATCACGACTCTCCACCAGCGCAGGGAGGGGCGAGCCAGCAGAGAGGGGTACAGAGCCAGATCGCATGGGGGGATCGAAGGAATTTAGCTAGGGAATTGAAGGGTAAATATATGCGGGGCGTCTAGTACTTATTTTGGGGGCTGGGTATTTGCAAATTCGTCGGAACAAACTATTAGTAGGGGACGATCACGGGGAGCGGCCTAATGAATAGACAGAATTCGTTAGAAGTGAAGAGCATATGAAGCAAAACCATGGGTGCGTACCGCATCGTCGACTCTGAATTGGGTTTCTGTGATACGGATCAAGTAGAAGCACGGCTTTTGAAAGACAGGTGGGGACAAATTTGACACGAATTGTAGGTGTTGTCGGCGCGCTTGCACCTTTCTTGCGGGGAGTCTTGTTGAACTTCTCTAAGTTGTATAGGTAAATACATGGAAAGGTGTCGGCATTGCTTAGCATCCCATTTCGAGGCAAGATGAAGGAAGAAAGCAAGACGGATTTGGCAAGCAAACGATGTCGCGGCAAAATCCGAACCGCTGACTAAGCCGCTAGCGGAGCCGCTCTCGTTCTTGCCAGTCCTTTGCCCTTTGCTCATTTATAGCCCTTGAATATCTGGAGTGATGTCCACCATAATACCTCTCGCTGTGTCTGTGACTTTTTTTTCCACCCTCTCTTGAACACCCAATCGCATCTCATTTGGCGCATCCCCTCAACTTGAACCACACACTTCAAGTCATAACCTCGCCCAATGCTTGGATAAACGGGACTGTTATGGGCGGGTTACTGAAGCTTAAACGACGCTAAGACATATCCATGTCTCTATATGGCTGGTCACGTCTGCTGGATACAGGGAAATAGGCCAGGCTTCTCAGGACACTTTCTGTATTCCTATCAGAATCTGTCCAGTATGCTGGACCTGCTGGGCTCTCTGGGTCATAGGTCTCACAGAAGTGCTCGTTACATTTAACCTTACGATACTTGTGACTGCGCTGCGGGCCTGCTGGACTGTTTTCTTCTTCTGCTCATGTGAGACGTCAAGCCAATCTCTGGGACAATTCAGCCGCTGAAACTTGTGGCCTGGCGATTAATCGATGAGCATAGCGGCGAAGTTAAATTCAGGTCTATTCTCCTAGCCATACTTGATTCTCAGACTCATTCTTAAGGATCATCCTAAGCGTCATCTTCCCTGACAATGAACCCTTCAACTTCGTGCTGAATACGCGTTATCTTTAAACTTCAGGTGCGTCTAGAAGACCGTCCTCATTGATTCAATCAGGAGAAGTGGCTTCGTAGGTCATCGTATGCACGTCGCAACTGTAGCTCTTGCTTTTAAAGGTGCACGTTCCAAACGCCTACCACTAAACGACATGGTGCGTCCCTTTCAGCTTGGAAGCTTTACTTTTTTCTGTTTGAATGGCCGCTGCGCGCGATGGATACTTCGATCGCGACATTGCATGAAGGTCTCGCGGAATACCAGTCGCTCTTCATTTCTCAAATTAAGCATGATCATTAAATAACTTCCCCTCGACGATCACTGCCTGCGCGCGTGCACCAGGGATGGCGTAGTTCCTTCTGGATGGGTCAACGACGCATGCCCTTCTGCGCCGCACATTGTCCGGGCACTCCGAGGCACATCGCAGGTCAGGGCTAGAATCTGCTTGATTCTCCGAATTCCTCTTCTCGGTCTGCTTGGATTTGGGCTATCTTAAATATGGACTTGATTCGCCTCCCTAATCACGGAGCCACGTCTGACCGGTGCGTGTGCAAGTTACTACATCCATCGTTGTGTGGCTTCATGTGCCACATCCGACTATGGCCAACGTGGGTCCGTCCTGGTTCAGGCGCAGAAGGGGGGTTGTATCCCTGAGATAGGCTGGGTGAGTCTTACATCGTATCACCCATCTACGCAGAAACTGGCCCATTCCATTTGTATACGGCGCCCAATACTAGTTAAACAGAGCAACGAAAGCTTCAAGAGTACGATGAGTCCTCATTACGTGCTTGAGTCTTTTTGATGTTACGCTAATGCGAGCTCTGTTCCAATGGCCAAAAGTTGAAGCAAAGTTGTATCAGCAAGGTAAGCACCATTCTTGTTGACTGCGTTCAATTCTTGACACATGTCGGTTTTACCTGCCAGTCCGAGCGCCCCGGGCGGATATTTGACTCTGCCTTGGGATTCTCCATGAGCATACATAGTATTGAAGTGTTCAAATTCGATTAAGCGTTCAGGCTCTGACTTTCCGGTATAGAAGGTTTCCGAGCCATTTTGCCACATTCTCCAAGCGTTCTCTCTGGACCGAAGTTTACAAGAGTTTACAAGACGGCGTGTTTTCTTGACGCCGCGTCGGCTCCAAAGGCCAAGGCAACCGCTCAGTCCAAATCGCGAAAGTGCGGCGTCGTATCCACCATCGGCGGCAATTAAAATTACCTCTCTACCACCAACGGCCATGCGTTACACTGGCCGCGCGACAGACAAGTTACTGTGCTGTAGCGGAAGGAGCTGCATCGAGGATGGAAGTTCATGGACCGGTAACGGTTGACTCCGGATGCGATCTGGAGCTCCTTTATGAAGCCTCTGAAGCTCTCCAGTGCCGCTCTTCTGCTTCGGATTGCCCGATTGATCATGCGTTGATATATAACCCAGGCCAGATCACAACTGCTGAAAATTACATCGCCACTTACTCGTACACTCCCCTCGGTGCTCCTTTGTCTGCCTCGCATGTTGGGTGCAGGATCCCTCGTCATGGCTCAGCGGGCATCGAACCATGACCTGACGCAGCCGGAGGTCGTGCTCGCTGGCAAGGACTCGCCCGACCACCAACACGTCGGAGCTTCGAAGCCGGATGTGGATCAGGTGTACGATGTAGGAAAAGATGCGTGGTTGACGGTTCTTGGAACGTACGTTGCTTTTGTGGTGACTTTTTTTTGGGGGTGACTTCTGGAACGGACGCAGCTGACGAACACTGGCAGTTGGATGATTCAGTTTTGTACCTACGGGTGGGCTCATGCACGTCCCTTTCACCATTAGGCCGCCCTTGTTGAACATTGGGATTGAAGGTACATATCTGCTTTTGGGGTATACCAAGATTACTACACCAGAGTGTCCTTGCGGAACGAGACTCCATCCAACATAAGGTACGTCTTTCACTTTCTTTGGAGGAAGACAAAAGCTAACTTCCGTAGTTGGATAGGGAGCTTTCAGCTATTTATGCAATACTCTCCTGGAATATTGGTTGGCTACGCGTTCGATAAGGGTTATTTGTGGGTACATTTTTCTCTCATTTTGGACCTGTATCGTTGAACCTCTTACGAAAGCCGCCAAATGATCGCATTAGGGTCCATTCTCCAAGTATCCTCCATGTTCATGCTTTCTTTAGCGAGAGAGCATCAATTCTATCAGGTAAGAGCAACGCTTATATACCATATGTCCATTTGTTTAAACAGGGTTCCATCTTCATTTCGGGGCAGGTATTTTTAGCGCAAGCAGTCGGAATGGGCCTGGGGCAGGCGCTTCTTTTCCTTCCGTCGCTAACCATCATCGGACATCATTTTAAACGACGTCGGGCGCTCGCAACGGGAATAGCTGTCTCGGTGAGTGGGATCAAGATCCCTTAGGCTGGTACCGCCCCCGCATTTGTGCTAAACGTCATACCTTGCTCTGCCATCAGGGCGCGTCCGCAGGAGGGATAGTCTGGCCTATTATGCTGAATGAGCTAAGCCGACGGACATCGTTCCCAAACTCGATACGGGCCACGGCGGCCCTCACCGGTCTCTTACTCATCCTCTCGAATATCGTTATGAAGACGAGGTCAGATGCAGGCCATGCTGCTCGCAAATCCAAATTTTACGCTGTGTTTCACGATCCTGCGTACTTGGTGTCGGTTGCGTCGTGAGTGGCCTGCATTCCGGGTGCTCTCCTGTCGATCCTTATCCCGAGCTAACGATGGGGCAGCGCGTTTTGCATTAATCTCGGACTGTTCTTCCCATGTGGGTCACGCGAAGCGTAATCCCGTGTCGATCTCAGATTTCTACCCAAGATTTCTACTTGCAATTATATGCCATCGACATCGGGATAAGTGACCGCTTAGCATTTTATTCTGTAAGCATTTTTCCTTTGTTACTTCCTTTCGTGTCCTCGGAATTGAGGCCCAAGTAGGTTGCGCTCCTCAATGCCGGAAGCTTTTTTGGGCGGCTGCTACCCAATTTTTTTGCTGATAAATTGGGCCCCTACAACATGCTCCTTCCATGCCTCTATATCTCAGCTGCGTTGGCATTCGCGCTTTTCGGGGTGAAGACCTTCCCAGGCGTCATCATTTTTGGCCTGCTCTATGGGTTTTGGTCAGGTTCATGTAACTTTATTCCTTTTATTTCTCGCTTCCCAAATTTCTCACCTCCATTCGCGGCAGATGTGTCCTTAATACCTTCTCTCCTTGCCCAGTTTAGCCGACATCTGGGTGACTATGGGTAAGATCCTTGTCTCCGCATGTCCTTGTCGAATTAATTATGTAATTCTGGTTTCAGAACGAGGATGGGTGTGGCGTTCTCCATTGTGGGTATATCCCTCCTGATCGGGACACCCATCGAAGGAGCGCTCCTTCAGTCTAACGGGCACCAGTTTGTATGGTACAAATCCATCATTTTCTGCGGAGTAAGTGGTGTGTCCTCAGTTTCAAAAATTCTGCGCTAATACGTTGGTCAGGTCATGATCCTATGCGGGGCATTGGGAATGACCTATTCTCGCTCACTCTTCGTTTCCCAAGCCGAAGCTGAGGGAAGAGGCCGACCAAATCGCATCTGATATGAAAAGGCACTGCCTTCCTGGCACTAAGTGCGTACTAACGCCCACAACATATCCTATTCCGCTTCGCTTTGAAATTTGAACGATTAACCGCCCTACCCCTTCTTGTCCAAGATATCTCACACTCTTTCATGCACCCCTTGGATTGTTAGACAAGCATTTGAGAGCATTTGAGAATGTAGAAAGCGAAGCGATGTATTATATTTGTGTTATTAAAGTCCGAGTACACCGAATTATCATAATCTTGCCGAACTATCATATCAAAAAACAGCCGTCGTCATCAACGGATCGTCGTTCCCAATCAGGGCCGAAGCGCTCATCTTAGACCACGACCACGACCACAACATCAACCACAAAGCTCTTGTTTAAGCAAGACTACTTCGAATCGGAATGCCACATAGCCATCACTCGCACTCAGGACAGTTCTGCAAGCACGGTTCCGGGTTGCTGGAAGACGTGGTAAAGGAAGCCATTCGTCAGAATTTTCAAGTCTACGGCCTGACAGAGCACGTCCCGCGCTATCGGGCAATCGACTTATACCCCGAAGAGGTAAAATGATCTTCCCCCCCGCGGTTGTGGCGGCTTTCTGATTGTGCGGTACGATAGGTGAACACCTCGCTTGATGAGCTGTCGAGCCAATTCACTAGCTTCCTCATGGAGGCCCACCGCCTTAAGACTGCCTATTCAGCACAGATTTCACTCCTCGTCGGCCTCGAGACAGAGTTTATAACGGATCTGGATCTCCATCGGCTGGATATTCTGCTCAAGGAATTCGGAGACCGTGTGCAATATGTCGTCGGGTCCATTCATCACGTCAACGGGATTCCGATTGATTTCGACCTGCCCACCTACGAGCGAGCCCTTGCGAGCTTCGGAGACGGAACTGGAGACGGAGGGCACGAGGCCCGACAGCAAGCATTCCTTTCGTCTTACTTTGATGCTCAGTACGAGCTCCTCCGATGCTTCAAGCCCGAGATCATAGGACATTTCGACCTCTGCCGCTTGTATTGCCCTTCGCTGCGCTTTGGACACCACCCGGTAATCCAGGAGAAGGTGGAGCGGAATGTGAAATTCGCCGTAGGGTACGGTGCGTTGTTCGAGGTGAACGCTGCTGCATTCAGGAAGAAGTGGGACACTGCGTACCCAGGGGAGGAAGTTGTGCAGGTGAGTAACCCTTCATATCACATCGTGCAGACCTCCGGATTTGTGTTTTTCTTTTGTTCTTTATCTCTCCCACAGGTGATAAAGCGACATGGAGGGCGATTTGCACTGTCCGATGATAGCCACGGCCCGCACGCTGTCGGGATGAACTATCGCCGCCTGCCTGATTACCTGCGTTCCGTGGGCATTTCCGAACTTTGGTACCTCGAACCTTCGGACATGCCAAACTCTGCGGGAAGGAACATTCGCGCCGTTAGACTTGACGGAGATTGGTTAGACCACCCGTTTTGGCGTGGACAGCCATAATAATTAGGCCCATCATGTCATTCGCTGACTTGGAAATCGAGCGAGTCGGAAGGTCGTGCCTTTCTTTCGAGAGGCCACCAACGGATCACTTGTTGCTCGTGCTGGTCTTCCACGTTACGCAGCGGCTTCGGGGTAGGGCCTGCTTGACATGATCTGTCATGATTGGCTTGTAATTCGTGGTTATCGAGGACCGGTGGTGTGTTGCAACCCGAATACGAGGATGCCGAGGTGTGCATTCGGGATTGTGGTGTTACCTTCTAGCTCAATTCTAGCTCAAGAGACTGAATAGATATGTCTCTTTCGTGCGTCGTCATTCGACAGGGTTTGAGGCCTCCCATCAAAATGCAGACGCTGCAATAGACAAGAGGCTTGACCGAGGGGCGACATATGATGGCAGTTTCTTAATGCCAGATTGGAGTTACGCGACCTTGAAGTCGCTTGTGGGGTTACTCAGGAAGGAAAGAAATTTCATTTTATCAAGTCCGCAGTCAAGCGGGAGAGGCCTCCGAGTTTATGTATGATGTCTGATGTCGTGGTCCTGACATGGGCGCTTGTGGCCGAAGTGGGATTGTGGTTAATGTTGTCTGCGGATTTCAATTTATTTTCAACATATCACCATCGGCGCGACATACATTCGTCATTCATCTCGGATCACTATCGACCCCCGGGATTGCTTTTTTTTAATGAAAAGTTATGGTTAGTGCCTTTTTTGCACAGCCGTTCGGTGGGGATCGTGGCGGTGAGCTCACGCAGCCGATCCAGGGCAATTGGTTACTATTTGGAACTAACGATTTAACTTCGCATCGCGCTTTTTCTTACTTCGGGTATAGCTGTTGGCGTTTATCGACCATTCTATCACTCACGAGCAAAAAAAATCGGGCCAATAGATGCGATGGAGAGCGATGTTCTCCTTCGGGAGGGAGTATTTTTGAAGTCGCTTAACGCGTTCGCAGCGTCCTGCCAAAATAAATCTAATTGGTATTTAAGGCGGGAGGGTAGACTACTGGACGGCATTCACCTCCAGAACTACTCGCTTCAGGTAAATCGCAGAAAACATATCGTCTTTCACGACTTGACGATTTCGACAATAGACGCCACCTCCTCGAACTCACAATGTGCTACCGACAGGTCAACAGCATTATGCACGTCTGTGGCCATGGCCACCCTCAGTCAGACATACGGGTGCGCCTCAGTTCGCTTCCCTTCGGGCGCCTCATCCATTCTCATCGTTGGGGCTGTCTTCAGGTCGATTGCAATTCCCCTACCTGCCGATACAGTAGCAATCATGGTGCTGCTTGTACGCCCAACAGTTGCCCCCAGACCTGTGCTCAATGGTAAGAGATCGGTTCATTATAATGTCTGTCCTTAACACTGACCTGAGAACCCTCGGTAACGATGAAAAGGTTGAAGCCTGCGCAGACAGTTGTAACTGGCCAGGTCAATTCTCTTTGCGGGCAGTGCGCAGCCTCTCGTCGCCGTTGAATGGTGCACTCATTTCAAGACGGATAAGTTGCTCATTGACGCATTTTTCCCTGTGCATTAAAGAATAGAGGCTATTGTCTATTTTGCATCTTTCCAACTTCTTTCCATCCCAGTGTATTTCTTGCTGCACGTATCTCATTACAAATTTAGATTGTAATGCTCTCTACATTTATTGTATTTCGCTTGCTATTTCCAATAGATGTCCTGTTTGATAGAGCTCCTTTTTCTGCTTCGTGAAGTAGAAGCGCTCAAGACGGAGTTAGGAGCGATCGGGTAACTTTGGCGGGGTCACATGACGCGATTGATCGCAACGCGTCTGGCAGATTTTGACGGCCGCCCCTGGCTTTCACCTCAACCATCTACTCCGATTACGCGTGGATCCCACCATGGCCGACCTCCCTTCACTACTCCTCGCGTCGCTCAACCCCGACACCCGCAAGCAGGCAGAACAAAATCTCACCGCTTTTAGCACACAGCCCGGGTTCCTGACCCACCTCCTGAGCCTTGTACTCGAACAGTCCCAAGATCGCGCCGTAAGGCTGTCTGGAAGCGTGTACCTGAAGAATCTCGCGAAACTTAGATGGGAGGAGGTGCGTTGATTAGTTCTGGGATCACGGTGACTCACAGGGGGACATCGATCCAGGACGTCCAACCCCTCAATGAACAAGACAAAGCCACATTGCGCTCGCAATTAGTGCCTGCCATGCTCACCCTGTCGTCCCCAGCGGACAAGGCTATCCGTGCTCAGGTGGCAGAGTCCGTGTCCCTGATCGCAGAGCTCGATTTCCCGGCAAAGTGGGAGAACCTCATTGATGTACGTCATCGTTCTTGCCGCCACTATCTACCCGCGACGTCGCGTCCTCATTCTTTTACAAGCAACTGGTGTCGTCGCTCTCCGCGACCGACTACAATGTCAACGTTGGCGTGTTGCAGACCGCCCATTCGATCTACCAGCAATGGCGCGCTCATGTCCGCTCCGACCAACTCTTCACCGAGATCAACCTCGTCCTATCCAAGTTCATGGAGCCGTTCATGCAGCTCTTTAGGCAAACCGCGGCTCTCCTTCTTACGAACCCTAGTCCGAACCCAACTCTCACTTCGCCCAAGGAGAAATATGTCGCTCTCGCACAGGTCATGGTCCTACTTGTCGATATTTACTACGATTTTACCTGCCAGGACCTGCCGCCGGCGATCGAAGATAGCCACGAAGAGTTCTTCGCGCCCGGGACCGGATGGTTCCAGGCGTTCTTGCCATGGGATCCGGCTGACCTAAGAGGCGATGTACGTTATCATTTCGATCAGCATTTGAGGGATCTGCAAGCTCAACTTCATCCAGCCAGACGACACCACGCCTTCATTGACCTCTCAAATAAAGACAGGTATCTTAGAGATTGCTGAGGTGCGCCTATCATCCTAATTACTTCTCTGATTGCGCCTCACACGGATCTTTATAGCTTTTCATCAAACTGTATCCCGAACAACTACAAAAAACGCCCGCTGTCGAAACGATCGTGCAAAGTGTCTGGTCCCTCATTGGGTCCAACAAACTGCCGGGAGTCTCGGACGATGCTGTAAGCTCCTCATCGATTTTTCCACTGCTTCCACTGATTTGTCTTTCTCCAGCTTGTTTCCCAATCCCTACGGTTCATCTCAACAGCCATCCGCTCCGGGTACTACAAGTCCCTCTTCTCCGCCAAAGAGACCATATCATCCCTTGTCCAAGGCGTCGTAGTTCCGAATGTCTCCCTACGCGAGCATGATGTTGAGCAGTTCGAGGATGACCCGCTCGAATTCATTCGTCTCGACCTCGCGACCTCCTCCACCGGCCCTGGCGCGGATCTGGCAACGCGAAGCCAGGCAGCGGCGGACGTCCTTCAGGCGTTAGTGCAGAGTGGTTACGAGGCTGAAACGACGGAGATTGTCGGCGTGTGGGTCAACACTGGTCTAACGGAGTATGCGGCCAATAAAGAGGAGAATTGGAAGGCAAAGGATAGCGCGGTGTATTTGTTAAAGGCTATTGCGACGAGAGGGTCGACGACACAGGTAAGGTTCCTTGTTTGATTCTCCATCGAGCCTCCGTTGATTTCCTTGACAAAGCATGGTGTGACGTCGACGAATGCGCTGGTTGATGTTGTCAAGTTCTTCTCCGATCACGTTTTCGAAGACCTGCAGGCTGCCTCAGGAACGGTGCATCCGATCTTGCAGGTCGATGCTATTCGATTTTTGTTGACGTTCAGGAACCAGGTAGGTGACATGACCAGTGATTTGCGCGACTTCCATGCACTGACCTGCGTTGACGTGGCCCACTAGCTAACAAAACCACAACTTCTCTCCGTTCTGCCCTTGCTTGCTCGTCATCTCCGCTCGGAAAACTATGTCACGTATACTTATGCTGCTATCACCATTGACCGTATTTTGTCGATAAGACAAGGAAATCAGATATTGTGGGCTTCGCTTTCTATCACCTCTGGCCTGGACCTGTGCTGACTGTCTACAGGTTCGCCCAAGTCGACATCCACGACTCTGCCTCCGACTTGCTCGATGCACTATTGTCTAAGGTCGAAGCAGCCCGCACACCCGAGAAGGTAGCGGAAAACGACCATCTGATGAAATGTAAGCGGTCTTTCTCGCCTGTATTTTTCTTCAGCGCTCATATCGGGGATGTGTGATATTAGGTGCTATGCGCGTCATCGTCACAGCCCGCCAGACTCTGACCCCTACATACGAGCAGGTGCTCAATCGCCTCGTCACGATCTTGGGCGTTATCTCCAAAAATCCCAGTAATCCTCGTTTTGATCAATTTATCTTTGAGAGCATCTCTGGGTTAATGAGGCGCGTAATGTTCACGACCTGCGGGAATTTGGCGCTGATTGAAGTTCCAGGTTCGTTGTGGCTGGTTCTCCGACGACCTTGGCTACCTTCGAGCGAACACTCTTTGGGCCATTTACCATCATCATCCAGCAGGATATCGATCGCAAGTAACAACTTCCTTCGCACAAAGCCTTTTCTCACAATCTTCACAGAATACATACCCTATGTCTTCCAAGTCCTCGCCCAGATGCTTGAACTTCATCGCGGAGGCGCACTGCCAGCCGAATACAGAGGGTTGATTCCCCTGCTGGTGACCCCTGCCGTGTGGCAGGAGAAGGGCAGCATCCCGGGGCTTGTCCGACTCCTGAAAGGGTTCCTAGCTCAGGATAACGTACAGATGCACGGAGCAGGCCAGATTGCATCGGTCCTGGCGGTCGTGCAGCAGAGGTTGATCCCTTCGAAGCTGCATGATGCATGGGGTGTTGAATTGTTGGAATCTGTGGTTTTGAATACGAGACCGTATGTGTTTGTTGGTCTTCGTTTTGTGTACGTGGACTGAGATGGATTTTGCGTCTAGAGCTAATCTTCAGCAGTACATCAAGCCAATGTTCATGACACTGCTAACGAGGGCACATGCGAACAAGACGGACAAGTTTTCGTATCTGTTCGCCAAGTTCATCCTGTACTGTACGGCAATCAAGGTGGATGGGTTGACTCCGGATTATTTCATCAAGACTGTCGAGGAGATCCAAGCAGGGTGAGTTTGGTTCATTAACAGGTGCATTCCGAGCACGATATTGATGATGTTGTTCGTATAGGCTTTGGTACCAGCTCCTCGTCAACTTCGCCATCCCTCAAGCACCGAAATTCCCGCACAAGGAGCGCAAGTTGGCAGCCGTCGGTATCACGCGTATTCTCTGCGAGAGTGATCTCATGGTTCAAGAACCATCTGCACGAGCTTGGTGAGATCTTATTCGGGCATTGATGATTTCTAGAGTTTGACCATTTCAAAGGACCGACCTGTATGGTGCTCTCGGGAAGCTCTTCACAGAGCCACAACATTTTGAGAAAAAGGAGGAAGCAGATGATGTTGCGATCACCGCCATCGACTTTGAGGAACAAGCAGCTGGGTACCAGGCAGCATATTCCCGCCTGGCTGCTTCCGAGACAACAGAGCTCGATCCTGTCGCCTATGTTCAGAATCCGATGGAGTTCCTTCACCAGGGTCTTGGAAGAGCAAAGGCGAAGCACGGCCAGATACAAGCTCTCATGAATGCGGTTCCTGGACGAATCGGTTGAGCCGGCGGTAGAGGGAAATTTTTAGGAGACTCAGATTAGATAATGCATTTACTCACACTACGGGCATTGGCACATCTAATCACTCAGGTGATTTGAAATGTATTTTCACAGTACACAAAATTGAGTCGGGCAGAACTACCTGATTATACAGATATCCACATTTTGAATGTAGTACTCAATTCCCCAAGGAATCAAATCATTTGCTTGAGACAGATCAAAACCCCTATGAAACCAGTGGATTACATTTTCAAAGCTGGAACTGGAATTCAGCAGAATTTGTTCCCGTTTTGGTATCTCCCTGCAAAATACCCATGATTTAAAGCCGAAGCGCCCTTATAGAGTTTAAAACAAGGGAAAATATCATGGCAAAAGGGGATAGAATGTCATGCGATCAAGATGCGCGCGACAAGAAAATGGGGGATGGTATTTAAGAATTCTTTAGAGTGAGAACCCTGGTCTCTGCATGAATTTATGATAGATTAGTGGAGATAATAAATTCTCAAAGTCCTAGCTGGGTGGTGGTCTGGATGATGGGTTGATTTCTTTGTGAAGGAAGTCATTCTGTACTCACGGATCGCATAAGCCAATGCCCGTAGTGTCACGTGATGATACGCGTCGACTGTCACCTGACCTTATGTTGAAAACGCGCTCTCGGCTTTCCTTTCTTTTACTTTTACCATCATCATCTCATACCAACTCTATACTATCTTCTACCATGTACAACCCAAAGACACCGTCGAGACTTAGATCTAAGTCGGAAGTTAAGACGCCCTTGACGCCGTCGCTCGTCAACGCGATGAACAACGTCAACCTCGGATCGTCTCCGACGAAGCGTAGCACGACGACCTCCACCTCTTCACGCCTAAAGTCGAAGCAGTCGACGTCGGCGTTTGATGTCACCAATCCTTTCATTGCACCCCAGACCAAATCTCGCCCATCGTCACCAGTGAAGAGAATCGGGTCGAGTGGCATACCCACGTCGGAGTCCCTTCAACGTCAAGCGAATGGCGGAGTCATCAGAAAGGGAGGAGTGGAAAGCAGGTTGGATGTTGTGACAAGAGACTACGTACCACCACCGAAGCATGAGGTTAAAAGGTCGAAGTCGACCCCAGCAGCGGTGAGTACCGCAACACGTTTCTTTCCTTGACCAGCTCTCAATTAAACACATAGAACCGCACGGGAACAGAGAAACGCGACCGATTTATTACAAACCGCGATAATACAGACATCGCCGTCGTCGGCGCCGCCCTTGAGCAGATGTCTCTGAAACCGGAGAATAGCTCGCCAGGACACACGGCGCGCCTCGCGGCTGCCACGGGGGTACCCATCAATCGGCGGATCTTGGGGTATCACGAGCAGCCGCCCTCCGCCTCGTCTTCGGACACAACCCTTGCTCAACAGCGCGAGTACGCCAAGCCGCTGTATGCGCAACGCCCTGGGGCAGTTGCGACCTCCACAGGTGCCACAACGAATAAGACGCGCAAGATACCCACTCAGCCAGAACGTGTCCTGGATGCCCCAGGGATGGTGGACGACTTTTACCTCAACCTTTTGAGCTGGTCATGCCAGAACGCGGTAGCGGTTGCGCTTGAGTCCTCGACGTACATCTGGAAAGCCGACACCGGCGCGGTCGTCCAGCTGGGTGAGTGCCCCGAAGGCTCGTATGTCTCGAGCGTGGATTTCTCCAATGACGGTGCTTTTCTGGGCGTGGGGAACGGGAATGGCGACGTCGAGCTGTGGGATGTCGAGACCGGGCAGAAGCTGCGTACGATGAGTGGCCACCAAGGACAAATCGCGACACTCTCATGGCATCAGCACATCCTGAGCTCGGGGTGCGGCGATGGGAGTATTTGGCACCATGATGTGCGTATCCCGAAGCACAAGGTTATGGAACTGCTTGGGCATACGGGCGAGGTGTGTGGACTGAAGTGGAGGAGCGATGGTGAGCTATTGGCGAGTGGAGGGAATGATAATGTGGTGAATATTTGGGATGGGAGGTTAGGCGATGTAGGCGAAGGTGTGAGGGGCAGTGCGAAGTGGACAAAGAGGAACCATACAGCTGCCGTCAAGGTGCGTCTCGAAGGCCCTCAACAGAAATTTACGGTTTACTCTTCAATTGTCAACAGGCAATCGCTTGGTGCCCTTGGCAGCCCTCTCTTCTCGCGTCAGGGGGAGGTACTAACGACGCTACGATCAACGTCTGGAACAGCACTACCGGCGCGCGACTACATACTCTACGCACACCTTCCCAAATCACCTCTATTCAATGGGGCCCGCATAAGAAGGAACTCTTGACCACCCACGGCTACCCAACGAACGCGATCATGCTCCACGCCTACCCGAGCATGGAGCGCGTTGCGGAGATCCGAGATGCGCACGATTCGAGGGTGCTGTTCAGCTGCGTCGGTCCTGCCGGAGACGTGGTGTGCACTGGGGCAGGAGACGAGAATCTGAAGTTTTGGAGGATCTGGGAGGTAGCAAGTGAGGGTGCGAGGAAGAAGAGGGTAGCAAGTGAGGAAGTGGGTGGTGGCCGGTCAAACTCAACGAAGGAGGGAATTTTAACTCTTCGCTGATTGTTGGTCGAGATCTGGGCTTGGCGGCATGTTCGTTGTTAATTTGATGGAGCGATCGGGCCGGTACGCCACACAAACCGGAATGAGAAGAAATTTCCATTTACGATATGTCAAGACAGATCCAAGTTTTATATATCCGAAGCATTAGTTTCGCAAATTTTGGAGACCACTGTCCTCTTCTGTGACTGCGAGAACACGTTCTTGAGAGGTTCAGAGACACTGGCTGTAGTAGGGGTTGAGAGTTTGGCAAGTTGATCCCGAGACACAAGCTGTAGGTCCAGTATATCCTTGCCCACCACTAGAAAAACGACGCGAATCAGTGTATGGATCCTAAAGAAAATTCTCGGCTCACCATTGACCGTACTTTGTCTGAGTCGCCGCAGGTGCTGTCGTAGTCGGTGAGCCAGGGTTGCTGGCGTTTCCTGGCGTCGATCCGGTATTCGTGTAAGTCGAGCCGATGTCACCGAACTTGATGTTGGAGAATGTGACGCTGGCGTTTGGGCTGTTAGCTTCAACGTCCTTGGGTGCTCCGGAGGTCGTCGGGCAGGTACCGCGTGCAGCACCGGGCTTGGTAGAGTCGGTCGGGTACGTCGAGTCGAGCCAGAGCATGTTCACGGCATGGTCGTCCCACACGCTGAGTACGAGCACCATACCCTCCTGCATACCCTTTCCGATGCCCGCCAAAGCGCCTTTGTTTTGGAAGGAAGTGGTGTCGCCAAACGCTGCCTTCTGATCGTCGCAGAACTGCTCCGTGATGCTGTCGTACGGTGTACTGATTCCAGGGATGTTCGTCTTGGAGTTCTGAATGACCTTCCCATCCTGCACGTACAATCTCCTGATCTCCTTGAGGGTGCCGGCTGCAGTGCCGCTGTCGGTTATGAACTGGGTGACGACGGTGAACTTCTTCGAGGTGTCGACAGTGAGGCCCTTCCCGTAGAATGTGGTATCGCCCATACGGTACGAGTTGAAGTCACACCCGTCGGGGTCACACACGCTTGCATAGCGGTCGGAGGTCCCGCAGGCGTCGCCCGTGCAGCGCGACTGCCCGCCGACAGTGCAGGGGTGTGGGGTGTAGGCGGCGGAGACAGAGTTGGCCTCCCAGATGTCCATTTCGTTGCAGCAGGTGCCGTATTGCCCAGATCCGGCGTTGTCGTCGTTGGAGGAGGGGTCCCAGCCGACGGAGTTAGCCTGAAGAAAATAGACAGATCAGTGTGATGATAAATAAATTTAGAGGAAGACAAACCTCGCCGTTAATGAACTTGATATCCCTTGGGCACTGCGAATCGCAGTATCCGGTGCCATACTTGGCGCCAGCCTTGTTCGTGGGGTACTTAGACAACCCACCATCCGCGTCCATCTGGGAGAAGTACAACGCCCCGTTCAACCCGCACGGCAAATTCGAAAGGTCGACGTCGAAGGTGAACTCCTGGTTGAGCAGCTTAAACATCTCGTACTGCGTGTCGCTCGCCATCATGTACACCCTCGAACCAATGTTCTTCCCGTTATTGTTCGTCGTCACGAATTTGAGCGTCAGCGCGTTCCCGCTCGTCGTGATGCCGTAGGTGCCCGAGTAGTCAGCCCCGTCGACAGCGCAGTTGGCCGCGCAGGTCGTGCCGTCGGTGCACACGGTCGTGTTCCACGTGTTGCCGGTGTAGCAGTTGGTGTAGTCCGTGGTGGAGTGGAGCCAGCGCCAGTTGGAGTCGAGCACGATCTTGCCCTGCGACTGCGTCGCGCAGCCAGACGTAGTGCACTTCTGCCACGGAAGGGCGGGGTGCGTCTCGGTCTGGTAGGTGCCGACTTGTTGCCCAAGAGCAGCGGCGAGGAAGGAGAGAGTGAGGAGGGTGGTTTTAGGGAACATGTCGATTTCGATTGCAAGTGGGTCCCGAGGCGGTGAGGTGTCCAGGTGCAGCTGGTGTGCTGTTTAATAACATCGAGAGGCAGGTGTAGGTTTTATAGGACAGGACGCGGATAATGTCCGGTTCAGTTACGAGGGTGAGGAGGCGCGCATTTCGCCACCCAAACGCTGCCTCTGGAGACTCTTCGGAAGGTGAAAAATACCACGGACCATCGTGTCTCTCCTAGCAAGGACTAGTGATCAAAAAGATAAAGTTAGCACTGCTACTGCATTCAATCTCGGGGAAGAAGTGTCGCGTATCCGTACCATCCTTCGCAGATTCCACATCCGCAATACTCACATGGAACCGCCAAGTGTCCTGGGCGACCACCGAAGACAAACTTGGAGATATTTTTAACCAGCGGCGCATTTCGTGCTGGCTGGCGGGCCATAAAACGTCCTGGACAACTCGCATGATCTTTCGGAGTGGCGATGTTACCGATTCTCTGTCAGCTGAAGACGCTAGGGTTCCGGAGGAATGGTGAATGGGAGAATCTCCGGGAATACTTTTCATGAGCTCGAGGAAATGGAAAGGGCTCTGGTGGCCCTTGAGTTTCACTGTTTCACGTCGATAAATTGGTACGAAGTACATCTTGGCGATGAATAGCCTGGGAACATGTGCGACCCTCTGTACTTTCTAGTTATAACGTCGTTGGGGAAAGGGGCTTTCACGCAGACGGAGACAGCGTTGGACGGCGCTTAAAATAGACCACTTGGCGACGATAACACGTAAGTTTATTTTTAGCTCTGGAGGCTGGAACTTGTTCAAGGGCCAAAATGGTTATCGCGCTGGCCGTAATGGTATAGAGGCTTCTTCAGCGAGAAATTTACTTGATACAACAATGTATTTCCCACCGAGATTAGATAGACAATTGTATCTGGCCCTGAGGTACATTTCCTTGAAAGTGCGAAGAAAACAACGCCCTCTTCGTCAACCCATCACAGCGTGTACCTCATCTACGAGTAATACCACCAGAACACAACAAATATCCACACCTCAGTCCGGAGAGAGAAACCTCCCATCTCTGATAACACCGATGATAGAATGAGTGTGCGTTAGCGGCAACGGTGGCCATGCTCGTCTTGGACACGAACAGCCCTCTTGTTCCCCAGACGCCGGCTTGATATCTCGGACGCAATTTTCTCGGCGCCTCTGTGGATATTACTCCGGATTAATTGGCGGGCGTCGAGTTTATTTTTTACATGACGTGTTGTTGCGTCGATTCAGACAGAATCGGGAGAGCGGGAAGTGGAAGGATTGAATCAGAAAATCAGGAACTTTGCTGTACTCAGTGACGAATAACTGGAACCAGGAAGATATATACAAAGTCGTAAATAAGGTGGTGAGGATGCTGTGGTGGTTGTAGCGTTTTTGACGGAAGAATATTGACGGTCAGAGTCAAAAATAGATACCAGTGTAAGGTCAATTGTGTTTCGGACACGTGAGCATCTATTTTGAGCGCCCTAGTGCGATTGATGACTCGATGCGTAAAGGCTTGCAGGAAGATAACAAGGGATACAGCATCGCACTCAGTCATTAAATTTTTGTTCTGAACAATCTTATCTAGTTACTGGAGTGTTTGAATACTTTTATAAATACAGAGCAGGACCTTGAGCCGTTTGTCTTTCAAGCAGGACAACTGGAAATCGATATCGCGACACAAAGTCCCGGAGATTCTCCTTCTCCCCTTCTCTGCTCTACCATACCATCCTCAGCTGACAAGCGGGTTGTCATTTTTCCGTTCCCCCAGGTCATGCGAGGCCTATAGGTGGTTCTACAAGATGCCAACTTGACGAACGCGCTACGCAATGCTAAAAATATATAACGACGGTACGCCCAGGACGCTTGGCGATCCCAGCTGTCAACGCACATCGTGAAATCATCTGCATGGCGGATGCGGGGTAGGGAGTCGCGAAGCTTCTTCACCGACATTGTATGGAGTGGGTTATACCGTCACATTCTGGCCACAGAAGGGACGATAAAGCAGGAAATGCCGTCAGCGTTTTTCTGCTTCCACCATGGATGAAGAAGGATTTAAGGGCTCAGCGCGCTATCGTGTCCTGCGGCGAATACTCGAATCAAGTAAAACTTTCGTTGCGTTCAGATTTGCTATTTGCTAGATGACATTCGCGAACTGATACGAATACAACCAACCTGCGAAGATAACAACTCCTAGGGCCAATATACCAGATAAAAATATGCTTGGTGTTCTGTGAACATCATATGTAGAGTATGTTATAGTGTTTGCGTCTGGTATTGCTGCTGGGGTGATAGGAACGGGGAACGGGGAACTATGTCCATGTAGGCATGTAGGTGTGGGGGTACTCGCCCCGGATCTATGCTTCCTTCTTCACGAGCTCATTGACAATTTCAACTGCCCTCTTGAACTTCTTCTTCTCCTCCTCCGTCGGCTGCACCGTGCTTGTGCCGCCCGTGCACCCCTCTGGCGCGCCGTTCATCCACTGCAGGTCGTCGCTCCCCCACGCGATGCTTGTGTCCAAACCATAGATATCTTCACTGCCTGGGGGGCTCTCCGTGGGCAGCGTCTTCAGGATGCCGTGAAGCTCTTCGACGAGCGCAGCCGTGGATTCCTCAGTAGAGGAGACGAACTTAGGCGCGATCTCCTGGAGCGATGGCGTTCCGGAAAGCCGAATGGCGGAGGCGATGGTGAGGGTGTTGCTATTCAGGGGTTGTGTGATGGTGTGGATCGCGTTGGGAGTGGGTGGGGCGAAGCCTCCACGGATTCCTGGATGATTAAGCCTTAGTTGTGGACGAGTAAAGGGAAGAGAAAGACAGACCGTGTTGAAGGCGCAACGAGTACTCGCCGACGGGCATTCTGGTGCTGCTGGATGTGATGTTTTTACCGGTATGAGGGCTGGGGAAGATATGGAGGCTAGGGTTGTCTGGTGGTCGTTGTTAAGATAGAGGCGCAGTCGAGAGGCGATGATAAGATCCATCCATAATGCCACTGCACCTGGGGTTAGGGTCATTGACGTCATTCGGCCAGATTCAGGACACTCCGCGTCGTGTCCGAGTCTCGCAGTCTCCGCAGCCCGCTAAGTGGGTATGTTGTTGAGGGTCAAGTGCGAGGCGGCGAAGAATATCGCTGGTAAATAGGTGCGTTTTTCCGGAGATTTGGTGTGAGTTATATTTTAATTTCTTCAAATTTGAGACTTTTGTAACTCAACAGAAATCTGGCTTCATGGCGAAGGTGAGAGATCAGTCCGAGTCAGCGCGAACTGTAGTGTAAGGATACCACAAGTTCCACCACACATAGCCTTGACATATGCGTTGCTCTCCCTCGTGTCCAGTGGTGGCGGGCTGTAATCAAGTTTGGATTCAAACTCCGCTCTGCCAGCTCGGCTTCCTCCCGTCGCGTCGCAGCATCGCAAGCCTCCGCAGCGTGTCTGGCTATAAATGTAGGTCGCAGTTCGAGGCGGTGAAGCGTGTCAAAAGGCCTCTGACAGTTAAGAGGAATGTGTTCAAATGAAGCCAGGATGGCTGGGTTTACAGTGTCCGGAATCGAGGGGTTTTATTCTCTTATTCTTGTCTCGATCTCGAGTGCAATATTTCTCGGGGCCAGAAGGTTGGCTGCCTCAAGGCTGCCTGAACAATTCTCTGTTATTTCTAGATGAAAGACGGTGATAAAGCAAGCGAATGAGTGCTGTGCATGAACATCCATGAATGCTAGACATCGGAAGAATCTAGGCTGTGGGAGGATCATGACGTCACTTGCCCCTAATTCTCATATAAAGCACCGCAGCGCTGCTTCCTTTCGCACCCACTACTATCACCACTACAATGTCCGCTCTAACACCACAAATGCCTGCACAAACTCATGTTTCGATATCGCGCAAGAGCATCGACGAGCAGCCTGCACCCGTGCAGACGATGAGCGTCCGGCCGACGCCGGAAAAGAAGGAGGGAGAGTCCCAGCAGGGTGCCATGAGGTTGAGGGGAGGCTGCATTCCTTGTCCAGTGCGTATTACCTGCCCTGATTTTCGTCGTGTTGTGGCTGCTGATTGCAAGCGTAGAATGGCGGATGCTGCTTCATCATACCGATACCGTGCTGTTGAGCATGACCCTCGAGCCCCCACCTACTTCACGAACACCCTTTCATTCAAGCATGACGATTCGGACCAAAAAATGTGAATCCAGAGGTTTTTTGTATTACGAGCTGAATTATCTGTATAAGCCCTTGCATTGCTCTGACTCTAGTCATAATATATTTTACATTAAATAACTGTTTCATTCCTCGCACGTGAACACCCACGACCTTCGATAGCATGGTCCCATACTACTTTGCTACTATAATACAATACCGTCTCCTTCAAACTTGTTCTTGTCCTGTCTCTCTGCTGTTCTGCCCGCTATCTGGCTTCCGACCTGTGAACACCCCAGAAAATATGAAACACACCGTCGGAAATAGAGTTAGTCCCACCACGAAGCACATCACGACTTTCGTCGCGAAAGGCTCCATGAGTATGACAAACGTGAGTATGGAGATGGTAAGGCTGAGTATACCTAGATAGAAGGTAAAGAGCCCTGTCCGTCACATGGTAATTAGAATGAGTCCGGTGAACGCGAAGAAAGGACCAGAAAAAGCCTCACAGTGGTACAACATCCCGTTCCATAGTTGTGTTGCCCCAAACTCCTTCAGCAACTTGCTAATAGGAGGGCGGTAGTCTCCAATTGCCTCTATCTGAATCAACGCGTCTGCTGCATCGAGCTTGGCAGCTCGGTAGCCCACCTCGCCGAGGTTGTCGATGAGGACAAATGACCCGATTGTGGCGGCGACATTCAAGAACAGGGCAGTATAGCAGCTGGCAATAACGAAGTCCGCGGCCCCAGCTGGTGAGACATCTTCAAGCTTGTCTTTGAAGAATCCGAGCAGTTGGGCTGCGACTGCGGCGAGGAGGCCAGACTGCGCGAGTGTGAGAATTAAGCGCCCATGTGATGTGAGGGAGAGGAAACGTGCAACGACAGCACCGCTTTGGCTCGTCCATTGCCACCCGTCGCGTACAGATGTAACCGTCTTGGGGAGCTCGTCTGATCCAATGCGCATGTTGTTAGAGCTGTTTTGGAATTTGACTGATCTGAACTACCGTACAGTTGAAGAAATTCCTGGGCGGGGGAGGTGCTACTTGCACTAAAGTCCATACTGGCGAATTGCGGTAGTGATCTGGAAAAAAGCTTCAGGAGATCATTGACCGTGCGAATGTCTCTCTACTGACTCGGACTGTGCGGATTGTTCTGCTGGGTTATGGGTGGTACTTCTGCAGAATATCAACCCGAGTTCCCTCGTCGCAAGAAGACAAAATTGCTTACCGAGTTTTGGTAGATCGAGGGGAGCCTGAGAGGCACCGCGGAGGGAGTCTTCTACTGGATTTAAGCATGTAGTGATCATGAAAACAAGAGGGACACGCTACCAGGGCTGTTGGCGTCAAGCGAGGAGTAGCTGTGACTATGATCAGACATCATGGAGTGGAGGAAAGAGAGCTAAGGTGGCGGTGACAGGTGAAGCGAGAATTTTATGCCCGGCGCCAAAAGTAGCCTCGCGGGAAAGGCGTGTTTCCCTCGTGCAATGCAGGGCATGGAATTGGACCCATCTCAGCCCTTCCCAACGTCTTCCACCCGCCGAAGTCAGTCAGATGAGAGCACACCCGTTACCCCCTTATTCAGGAGCAGCCACTCACCTCCATCGAATTATTTGAGGCTGAGACTCATCAGGACCTCCTCGAGATGCTCACCGATTCAAGTCTAGGTCGTAAATCGTAAGCTCGCGCATAGCGGCAAAGGAAATATAAGGCATGGGTGCAACAATTGCTGGAGCCGCTATAACGATGAGGGAACTAGTACTTGAACGTGTACTTACCGTGCATACAGCCCATTCATCTCGTCCTTCGCCTCCTCTTCATCCCGCGCCTCTCGTTCTTTAGTGAGTGGGGTCTCCACCGTGCGAAAAGCCGAACTGCAAGGCCGAGTATGCGTCACTGAATTTTGCACCTGGTTTGGATGGTAGACGTCGAATTCAAAGACGGTTAGTCGTGTTCAGGCATTTCGTTGGTGTGGTGGGGGCTCGCAGCTTCGGTATGAGGAATGAGTAGGGCGCTCGTGGACAATGAACTTGAACTTTGAAGACGAGGCGAGGAGACGTTGATGGCCGTCTGAAGCTGGAAGGCAGGCTAGAGGGTTTTTTCAAGGGTTCACGGACGAAGCTGACGGCCGGGATCTGAACACCGCATGTACTAGCCTTAACTCAGACGACAGCCTAAATCAGCGTTCCGCAGAAGGGGTTGTTCCATCAAGATTAGACACATACTTCGAACAGTATATTTCGATCTCAGGTTTAAGCATTCCTGGAAGAAAAAAAGAACATACAGCATACGAGGACACGTGGAAACTTACAGCTTGAATTCTACCCGCCTCTGAAAGATTGCTAATAAACCCTAGCGAACTCTAGCCCCTCCTATGATTCCAACAAATAACGTATGGACAGAATAGAAACACAGTCACGTCTTCGAGCTCGAGATTGAAGAAAATGCCCTCCCGCTTCTCTCCTTGTTGTAAGGGTGGTTGCTTTTTGCGAAGAGACCCGAGAAGATGAAGAACGTCGTTGGGAAGAGTGTCAGCGCGACGATGGTACACATCACGACCTGCGTCGCGAGTGACTCGGAGAGGATCACGTATGTGAGGACAGAGATTATCAGGCTGAGGATGCCGAGGTAGAACGTTATTAGCCCTGTCGATCTAGGGATCAGAGTGGATACAGATAACTGGCGCAGAAGCGAACGCACAGTGGTACAACATCCCATTCCATATGCCATTTGCTCCAAAGTCCACAAGCATCTTGCTCACTGCAGGGGTATAGTCCCCAATCGTATCCACCTGCAACAACTCGTCCTTTGCGTCGCGTTTGGCCGCGCGGTAGCCCACTTCGCCGAGGTTGTCAATTAAAACGAATGATCCGATCGTCGCAGCGATATTCAGGAAAAGTGCGGCGTAGCAGGAGGCGATGACGAAGCCGGCGGCGCCCGAAGGCGAGAGATTCTCGTCGTCTTTGAAGAATCCGAGGAGCTGGGCGGCGACAGCGGCTAGGAGGCCGGACTTTGGGCGTGATAATATTAGGCGCCCGAGGTGTTGGTAGGAGAGCGGGGGAGAGAGAAGGAACGCACAACGACGGCTCCGCTTTGGGAGGTCCATTGCCACCCGTCCCGCACGGATAAGACAGTCTTAGGGAGCTCGTCTGGGGTTTGGGTATGGCATTAGTGGTTGAGACCAAGGAGAGTGGTGAGGGTCAGAGACGCACAGTTGAAGAAGTTCTTGGGCACCGTAGCAGGTGGAACCACGGTCCAGGGAGAGAAAGGCATATAGTGGGCTACATAAAGACTTGTGAGTAGTTGGGTGTTACGAAAAATAAGAAACTCACTTGGCATGGGCATCTGGACAGCTGGACTCCTCGGTGGCACATCTAAAGTACCTCAGCCTCCCTCTCTCTACTCCACATCGACCAACTAACCGATTCTTGAGACTGCAGGGCTTTTAACTTACCGTAGAGGTCAATAACCGCCGGGAAAGTGGTGAGAATAGTACTTACTACGGCTCCCGGTACCGCCAGTAACGCTCTCGTGGCCAGAGTCAATGCTGGCAATGACAGAGGCGTTTTCTGGGAGATGTGAGTGTGGGAAGAGGGAGATCCGGTGGGAATAACGCTACCAGCATCATACGATTCTTCTACACCGTGGTTGTACGAAGACATTGGAAAGGACGGAGGAACATGATGAGGGAGAAGGTTAAAATAGGGGCTTTACGCGACCTCATGGTGTCCGTGAGTTTCCCACGTGCACTCTGGCAGTGACGATGGACAAGTTCACGACGCTCGAGCCAGTAAAGCTTTACCCAACGTTCCTCGGCAGGTCCACCCCACAAAAGGCCACTTTTACGCCCCCACTCGTTGGTCGACTCCCCTCCGATCTCCATTTCTTCGTCCTTGCTGCCCTCCCCGTCCCCGATATACCGGCATATGCAAGATGCAACCGTGCAACAGCTGCTCTCGCCCGCGACGATGCCGTCTGGGAACCCCGTTGGAAGGCACTCGGTGTCGACAGGGATCCGGCGCTGAACAAGGTCCTGGACGATCTTGAGCACAAGGCTGCGGAGAGAGCCTCGCAGTCCCGCGCATCCGCCCCGCCGACGATTGCAGTCGACGACGACTTTGGGGATTTCTCGGGCGGTACAGATGCCCTCTCTCTGCCGCCACCGGAGGAGATGGGTGACTTCGTAGGCGCGTTCCAGGGGGTATCCGTGTCCTCACCGAAGACGCCATCGTATTCACACCAGAAAGAATCATTCAAGACAAAGTACACGCGAGTACATGGTCTACTGAAGCCCCTCACCCGCCTGCTCTCGTCTCCGCCCCACGTCGTCCTCTCCGATCTCGCAGCCCAGGTTACACCCTCGCTCTACCAAGAGGCAAAGACCCTCCGCCTCCTCTCCTTCTTCCTCTCCCCGGCCGTGCAACCTGTACGAAAATGGGACGCTCTCTACCTCTCCCTGCGAACGGCTATGGATCGATACGACTCAAATCTCCTGACGGCGTTCGATGCTGCGGACGGGAAGGGCGATGAGGCTGCGATGCGAGAGGCAGCAGAGTCGAGTTTGGAGGTCTGGGATGCGAGCAGTGGCGATTGGGAGATGGGCAAAGTGTGGACGGAGAAACGCGAGATTTTCTATCAGCAGGGCAATTGGCGTGCCCTCGATAACTTTACGTGAGTCTCAAGGGTTTACTGGATGTGCAGAGGTGCTGATTTGTCGTAGGAAGGAGGAACAGCTGGACTTTCGTGCCATGGACGAATTCATAGACGTCATCCTCGCGTCTATCTACGACCACGGCGCCAGAGCGGTCCGGGTCTTCCCTCCAGCCTCCCAGGTCTTGCTCCTCTTCTCGGAAAGGTTGGCACACGAAGTGGTCGGCGACTATATCACGACCCTCCTCTCACACGCCCGCGAAATCTCGACGTTAACTTACATGAAATCGGTCGCAGCGTCGTTTCGAGAGGCATGGAGGATGGTCGATGCAATTATGGACGTGGCGAAGCAGAGGGAGGACTCGAATGTCCTGAGGACGAAGGCAGAAGATGTCGTGTGAGTGCACGGACTTTTCTTTCGAAATTTACAGAGCACTAATGTCTGTCCTGTAGTTACCAGATGTTCGAGCCGCATATGGATGAATACCTCGATGAGGAGGTGGAAGCCATCAAGCTCGCGTTTGACGTCATATGCAAGGGGTGGGACAAGGAAGTATGTGTCAACGACTCGTTCCCATTTTCTTCCATTTATCGTGTTCACTCTAGACGGCATCAGCTTCCTCCCCTACTGCGGCAGCCAATGCTACCCGGTTCCTCGCGTCCCAAAACCCGGCACTGGTCAAGCGCAATGTGCTCACGTCATTTACGAACCTCCTCCTGCTACCTGTTACGATCGTGCCAAAGACGGTCGGGGCTGTTGGTGGTGCGCTCATGACTGGGGGCAATGCTGCCGTGCAGGGCATCGCGATGCTGAACCCACAGAGATGGGGCGCGACGTCTGTGGCTGGTCCGAAGGGAAATGGGTACTCGAAGAGTTTAGATAATGGGGCGATGTTGTTTGAGGTGGAAGAGGAGGAGTATGTGGCGGGGGAGGTGAGAGATGTGCGCGGCTCGAGTTCGTCATTCGTCTTGCCCTTTCTTTGATGCCGGGCTGACAGACCGAGTGCAGAATCCCTCGCCCAGCTGGACGTCACCTCTCCCACCCCGCTTATGACCGCGACCTCCTCTTCCCTTGCCTCGGGCGTGTCAACTGCGACGACAGAAACGACGCACCAGCTCGACCTCCTGCTCTCGCTCGACGTCGCCCTCGAGATCATCCACGCTGACCGCGAGGCACTCAAGCGCGTGGAGACGTTCGCGGGATACCCTGGGCACTACGGACACCGCGTCCGGGACACGATCGAGGAGATTTTCATATTGATGCTGCAAGCGCTGGGGGATAGACATGTCGCAAAGGGGTTCTTGCAGTGCGTTCTGATGTTTCAACGGATGTTTGTGGTGGGTCGATGCTCACGACGATGAGTGCAGGGCAACGGAACGGATGAAGGAGTATAACCCTGCGGAGCACGACGCCACTTCCAATGTTGCCCCGCTTGTACAGTTCTTCGAGCTCGTGCATGTTGGGGATACCATTCAATCAATGGTTCAGGTGTACTTTGACAAGGAGCTTGTATGTCCTCTCTTTCTGAGGAATACTCTTGTGTTTCTTGACACCGGAACTTTGACAAGGCACCACATATAGACAAAACCGACTTCCTGAATGCTGTTGTGAGGGAGAAGAAGCGATTTGAGAACACTCTTGATGACTCAGTTGCTCTTGGGCTCAATGCTGGGACAGATGTTCTGATGAATCAGGTATGTGGTTTACTCCTCTTGCTGGAGTGCATCTATTGAACATTGGCTGCAGGTTGAGCATATTATCTTAACCCTCACCAAGGCTAGGGTGTACTATCCACCTGATGATGCACATCTTGAGCTGGGCCCTACTAAAGGCTGTATTGAGGCTATCACCTGCTTAGAGTCCCATTGTAAGCTATTGAAGGGGAGTACTAGTAAGGAGGTTTTGGAGGTATTTTATCAGGAAGTTGGGTTGAGATTGATTGTGTCAGTTTTTTTCTCTTCTCACTTTATATTTAGCTAAAGATCTTCTTGTAGCATTCTTCAAAAACACATCAAACGTCAAATCATCTCTTTGAATGGTGGTTTTCAAGTCATTGCTGACTTGAATGCCTATAATGCATTTGTTGCATCACTTAAAGTAAGACTATATTTTCTTGACAACCATTGATCGAGCTTCTTTTTCTAGATTCCTGCTATCACAGCAGATTTCTCCAATCTGAAAATGCTAGGCCATGTCTATGTGGTTGAGGATGCTAAAGATCTTGCTCAGATTGTTAGAGATGTGACAAGATATGGAGGAGCATATAGACCTGAAGTCAGTATTTCATTTCTTGACAAATATTTTGAGACTTGAGATTATTTGTTCTAAACAAAATTATAGGATGTTTATGAATTTATTCAGAGAAGATCAGATTGGAAGAAGATTGAGAAAATTGTAGATAAGACTATGTATAATTTGAGTTTTAAAGAAGATTGTACTGTTTCTTAATAAATTACTTACAATATAGTGAGATTAGCATAAGGCTTAATAGATATGGCCTGCTCCAGCATTCAGCTGACCACGAGATTGTGAAATTTTTCTGGCCTCTCTTTCCTTTACTGCTCATAAGGTAGGAAGCATGAGCTATAGTCCACATTACCTGACATGACATGGCAGTGACTCCTGCCAAATTGATCAGTCACCTCCATCATTTTTATGTTTGGGTCTGAAAGTAAATCCTGAGGAGCACTTTTCTGGCTCAACTTTATACAACAGTGCTTTTAGGAAAGTGTTCAAAATCAAAATCTAAACACTTCCTTGCAAACAGTTTTGGGATATTTGCTTCCCTCACAATGCCCCATAGAAGATACTCAAATTGTCACAATTTTCATGTGATGTGGACTAGGGAATAGCATGGGTAACCCCCAGGTATCTCAGCAAAACTGAAGAGTGAATGTAGTTAGCTCAGACGTTGCACATGGTGAATGACTGTGATTAGCAACTACCTGAAGAGTGAATGTAGTTAGCTACAGTAGGGTAGTTAGTATGTATACTAATAGGCTGGATGAATATACAGCTCACCTCAAACATTGCACATGGTGAATGACTGAGGTAGCGGGGTCACTGAGTAGGGTATAAGTACAGACAGGAAAGCAAATAGAGGATAGTCTGTAGATGGAAGTAGGCAAGGTGGGTGATGGCTATGGGGGCGGCCATGCCAAGATATCACCAAAAAAGAGAAGAAAAGGAAATGTACCCAACGCATGTAGTGTCATGGTATAGAAACTATGCCTTGTCTCCCTCAACACTCCCCCAGACAAGATAGGTCCCATTACCCTACTTGCAGCTAAATCCCATCATATGAATGAACTTCTCATGTGTTGCTTGTAGTAGTGGCTTGGTGAGAATATCTGTGACATTTGTGTCTATTGATATCCTGGTAATCTCTGCATCACTCTTGTTGACCTGTTCATGGATGTAATGGTGTTTTACATGGATGTGCTTTGCCTTTGTGATAAGTCCACACCACTTCTCTATAAAATCAAACTATCTGAGCTTAATGCCCCATGCATGGAAGAAGAGATGCTCTTCATGAAGGACAAGCCATACTGAGAGTTACTGGAATGTGTCATGTGGCTCCAAGTTGGAACAAGGCCTGACCTCTCATTCACCATCAACCTGCTATCTCAATACCAGACAAACCCCAGGCCTGTACACTGGAAGGCCCTCCAACATGTCCTCACCTACATCAAGGGCACTCTACACTATGAAATAATCTATGACCCTAATTCCTCTGATGGCCTCAACATCTCAGGATACTCCAACTTGGACTATGCTGAAGATGTTGACACCATGTGATCTACAGGAGGATATGTCTTTACTATAGCTGGCAGACAGGTTGCCTGGAGCTTGAAATGACAGGCTACAACAGCATCATCTACAACTGAGGCAGAGTACATAGTGCTGAATCACACCTGCCAGCAGGCTATGTGGATGCAAGAATGGATGAATGAGGCTGGAATAGAGCAAACCGTGCCTGCAAAGCTTTCTGGTGACAACAAGAGCTCAGTTGACCTCGCATAGAATGTGAAGAGCATCACAACAGCCATGTAAGCTAGAATTTTTTAGAATCCTTTAACTCTATGTCTACATCTGGGAGGGCAATATCCTACCTTCTATTTTGGGAAGGCTCTCCTATTACCATGGAGGAGTTACTGAGTGCTCAGCATGTGAAATGTGACTGATGCCAAGACTGATGACAGGTCATGTGTTATTTTATTTGCTGTTTCCTTCAGAGTCAGCCTCCAATTAATAAATACATGATTGCCAGGCCCAGACTTGACATTGATAAAGAGCAATAAAGCCATCAAGTTTGCTGATGTCACCAACATCAAAATCACATGTAACAAGTTGGACTTTGCAAAATTTGCTCAAGTCCTCTTCTGCTATGTCTAGACAGACACTAGAGATGCCCAAAAAGCAAATTTCAGGTCACATGACTATGAGAAATTTCTCTTTCAGAAAGAAATAGTTGAAATTGAAACCCTAGGCCTAGATGACCCTGCCACCATTAGCACGACCTATTTGGCTCCATCAACAACAAGATATAAGTCAAACAGTGCTAAAATTTGCAAAATGCAAGCCATTTTTCAGTAATTTGTATTTTCTCACCAACCAGAGCAGCTGATGGCATCAAACAACTTGATTCAGAATCATGAAAAGATGCTCTACAAACCCAGATACTTTTTTTCCAAAAAAAATCATTATTAAATATCTCGTTATATATCCTCTTCCCAAAGCAGAAGGTAGGATATTGCCCTTCCAGACGTAGACTTAGAGTTAGGAAACTACCTAGAATTTCTATATTTTTACAGCTGATACAGGTGTCAAACCCTATTGGACCTGTAGCACCCCCTCCTGGCATCTATAAGGATGCAGGTAGAAGATGATGGTGAAACAACAATGACCAAGAGTGGATGACAGAAAGAGCAGCGAGAGGGCAAGGGTGAGGGCAAGTTGAGGGCAGCAGTGGCAGTCACAAGGGACAGTGTGACACAGGGCAGCATGACAGTGGCAATAGCAAGAAGGCCAGAGCCTGACAAGCAGCCAGATAGGGAAGCTGTTGAGGTGGGACAATGACCACAGCTGAGAGGTGATTGCAGGAGAACAAGGACCACAAAGCTAAGTGAGCTGATGCCTAATATATGCAGTATGTATCTACATAAAGCTGAAACCTAATATACATGCATAATACATCACAGAGCTGAGCACTACTATAGGCCTAAGAATCACCAGCATTTGAGGCTGATGGGGTGCCAGAGCCAGATGTAGGAGAGGCATCGGTGGTGGTGGCCAAGGTGTTGTGGAGTCTTGCATGGAACTGATCAAGGTGAGCATTGATATGCAAAAGATCCTGGTTGTGGATGCTGGTGAGCTCCATCAGCTCTTTGGTGTGTCTGATAGTCCAATTGCAGTTTGTAACATAGCACTCCAGCATCGATTCAATACCTGGGATGTCCTGGATGAGCACCTGGTGCAAGAAGATGATCTCCTGCTTAATGTGCTGCTATAGTATCAGAACAGTGGACTAGGGATGGCAGCAGTGACTGACCAGAATTAGTAATGGCAGTGGAGGATCAGCTCGGGGTGAGGAGGCATAATGAGGTATACCAAAGCATTGCTCAATGATGTGGCCTTCAAACAAGGTGCACACATATGCCAGATCGACGAAGGGGTAGTGAATGTAGTCCCTGAAGACATCACAGGGACTGAGGTAGAGGGGTGGAGGGGATAGCAGGGGGAGAGGGTTGAGTTGAGTTCAATGACGGTGCCATGAGCATGCCCTAGTACAAGAAAACAATCAGCACCTTGTTTGAAATCTGGTTCTGGGTCTTCTTCTTCTGGATGCAGCTAGGGGATGTCCCTTGATCTGCCCCTTGTGCAGCTCCTGTCACCAGTTCCTCATCATCTGGCACCGCTGCCATTCTCACTGTGCTGCTGTTTGCTGGCACTGATATCTCCCTCCCTGCACAACAGCTCAATCTGCTACCGCCTTCTCCACCAGCACAGCCAGCTGCCATCAACCACTCAATTGTGGAACTGGGAAGGCCTCTGCATCCTAAACATAGTCCTGATTATTTTGCTGAACTTTGCCAGCGAGTTCAAGAAGCAAGCAAGCGCCTGCTGCTGCTGGCACCCGATGCTCTTGCTGGCCCCTTCTCTGATTCAATGGTCATCGACAATATGCCTCAAACAATGTTTGCCCAGCACGACACAGACAATAATGACGATTACACAGTGGAGGTGGAGAAATGGGACAGCAATGAAGACGAGCCAGACAACGGCCATGAGGATGAACAAACCAATATACCTCCCTCCACTCATGTCAAGCAGGAATTTATGGAAATTTACCTCCACCAGCATGATGCAGCACACAGGGAAAGTGAGGAAGCAGAGTAATCCAGCACAGTCAGGATCAGGCAAGGCCATTGAATTTGTGCTCAAAAGAGGGTCATCAGTAATGGCGGCAGAGCCCACTGAAGACGCCTCAACAGCCTGCATTGCTGTAGACTTGGACTGCTGCATCAGCAGGCCAGCCTGGGTTACCTGCTGTTTTGATTTTGCTTGTATGAGGGCACCGAGGTCGATGTATTTGCAGCATGCTGCATCCATGGTCACTGGTGCTGGTGCAGTTGAAATAGGTGGTGCAGTGGCAGTGTGGGCAAGATCTGCTATTGAAGAGGATGACGCAGCTTTGAGAGCCCAGCAGGCAAGGATCTGCTCACAAGCACATGAAAAATCTGTGGCAGGGCATTTACTGGGTGGCAGTGGCAGGGGTTGGGTGGGAGCCATTGGATCCTCAGGCTGTGATTCCATGGGAGTCGTTGGTGGCTGTGGTAAGCTAATGATGTGCCTCCCATCTAGGCTGTAGATAGGACCGCTGACCTTATCACAGTGCACAGGATGGACCTTGTAGAGGGTGGAACTAGGTGGTACGACAATTGCTGCTGGCTCCAGTCCCATGATGCAGAGATGCTTGATTTTTTGCCACCCCTCGCCGTCATTGGGGCAGCCATGGGCACTACCCTGAGATATTTTAATGGACAGTTGTCCATTGAAGGTTATATATCAGAGCCTTCAACTATCCTTTTGGACAACTGTCCAACAACAATGAGTGTCTGCCTGAAGCAATGCAAAATTTCTAATAGATATATATAGAAATAAAACTGTGATGCCAAGTCTGATCAGAGGATCATGTGACTTTTTAAATGCCTTTTTAATCAGGCTTGGCTTCTGCAACCCTGATATTCTGGCCTCAAATGGAAACAATTAATAAATATGAAGTGATGACACCTGATACTGGTGTGACTGATGAGATATAGAGCCATCTTTATTGCTGATCTCATCAGTGTGACTGTCACAAATGCTAAGTTAGACTTTGCAAAAATTTATCCAAGTCCAGTTTATTGTTGGTATAGACAGTTGACCAAAGCCTCTTGTAAGCAATTATTTTTGTCAAGTCACATGACTGTGGGAATTTCTTTTTTTGGAAATTTGTTTGATGTAGTGAAAAGTCTTTTAAGCAACTACAGTCATCCACTGGCTAACGATACACCCAAAATGGAAAACCGTTTGCACTCGAAAAAAAGTCCACGCACAGTGATGAATAGTGTTTTAGCTACGAGACATTGTCCGTCTGCATACAATACAAAAAAAACTGAATAAAAAGGGCCAGAAACGGTGGAGATATCGACGAAACCGCGGAGAGATGGGAAAAATGTCCACATCAGCCAATGAGACACCAGGCCGGCGACGTGACAGGCATGTGACACAAGATCCGAGATAAGACACCTACTCGGCCTCGTCAGTATCCTCGTCTTCCTCGCTCGACTCTGCCGCTGAACCACCCAAAAAATCCTTCAACTTCGGTGGGGGGACACGCTTGGGAACAAATCCCATCTTGGGCTTTGGGGATTTGAATGTCGAAGCACGTCCAGTCCGGACTGCATTTGCTCTTGTCTTTGCCTTCTCCCACGCTGCCACAGCCTTCTTGTGCTTCTCGGCCTCCTGTTCCTTGAGCGCCTTCCACCCCTCTTCCTCCTTGTCCCACTTTGCCTTCGCTGCCTGATATGCAGCTTGGGCGTCCTTCCTCTCAGCCTTGTCCCGCGCCTCAAGTCGTTTGCGCTTCTCATGCTCCTGCCATGCCTCGTAAAACTCGTCCCCAGTTAGAAGACGGCCCAGACCATCGGCCTTGAGCGTCTCCTTTCCAGTGCGTCCACCCTTCTTCTTCTCTTCCTGATGCTGAAGCTGAGATTTCGCTTTGCCACAGTACACTTCGTTGAGCAGATTGTTCGCCTGGAGCTCAATGTTCCGGCTTGCAAGCTTGCTGTTTGTGTCATGAGATTCATGGAGGGCTGCCAGCAGGAGAACTTCTGTCTTGGTCTGTGGTTGAATCGACAGGAGGGGTGGTGGTGCGGGAACATGAGTAGGGATGGTGTGAGGGATGGTGGTGGGCATGGCGTCGTCAGATGTGATGAGTGTGGTTGAAATGAGGTGAGCCAGCTTGGTTTGTGATAGACCAGCAACCGCTTCGTTGATTGCCGCATGTTTGGTGCCACTTCCAGATGGAGGCACCTCGGAGATTGTACCAGATTCGACGTCAGATGATACGGCCAGCTTGCGGAACATGGTCGCAAGAACGTTGATGGCTGGGTCGGTTGATACGAGCGGCAAGGTAGCTTCAGACGAAGTTTCCTTGCTAGGAGCAAGCATGTCAGGAGTAACGACATCAGGGTTGAATGGCCACATGCCAGTCTTGCGAAATGCTGCCTTGACGTTGTCCTCGGTGAGTGCTCGCACGTGTGCCCTGCTGTAGATCTCGAGAAAATTCTTCTTATCCATCGCAATCCCATACTTTTGTAGCCATCCGTCCCGTTCCTCACCAATGCAGCGCTTCAAGACCGCAAATATCACGACGTCAAGCCCCTGATAGATGTGGGTGGTGTGAGAAGGATAGCAAATGACGAGGATAAGGTGTTCACGTGCATAAAGCAGGAAGGCGACAGTATAGTGAGAATTGTGGCCATCGACCAAGAGAAGGCGATACTCTCCTTGCTTGACTTTGTCCTTTGTTGCCTTATTGAAGATCTTGATCCACTCTGCACCGATCTCTCCGTCCGTCCAGCCCTTCTTCTGGTAGCCAAGCCTGCAATTAAATATCATGATTAGATCCAGAAAAGGTGAGTCGTGACAAAATGAGAGGAGAACTTACGTCGCATTTAGAGGGTTATTGTCACCCCATCCAACTTGGAGGGCCTCACCCTTGAAAATAACGGTAGGAGGAATAGCTGTGCCGTCAGCACAGATGGTGACCAGAACGGTGGTGTTTTCGCGAGTCCCACCACGTTGCTGATATTGTGGCCCCTTTCCATGGGCTGGAGCAATGACGTGCTCGCTTTCCTCGCCGCGGTTCTGTATGCCGATCTCATCAGTTCCAAAGGTGGTCTCAGGCCGGATGTTGTATTTCTTGATCGTCTCGTTGAGTAGGGCCCAGTACTGCTTGTTGGCTGTCGGATTGGCACCACGGCCTCGCTTGTCCTCAAGAGGGCGAGAGTCTTTCATCTTGAGACGGTCGGAGTGTCGCTGCACAAAGCATGTGGTCCAGTTTTGACCCACACCCTCGACTGGGAAGTTCTTGCGTTTGCGGGCATGGCAAATCATATCGACATGCTCCTTGAGACGTCTATGACTGAGTGGCCATCCACGTGCAGCCATGTCCAGGATAAATTCGACGACAACATCTTCTTCACCCTTCGAGAGCCATGAACGGGTGGCATTGGCCTGGACTCGAGTTAGCCCACCATCAGCCAGTCGACTAAGGGTCATATGACTGAGACGGATTCGATCTCCGGTCTCCTCGAAGTAAAGCTGTTCGAAATCTTTGCAGATAGTGCGCAGCCCTCGACGGGCATGATGGTCTGGCTTCTCGAGCTCAGCACGGTAGGCCTCGACTGCATGTGACATCAACGCTTCATGAGCACGCTTTGCCTCCTGTTGCCGCTGGGCTAGCGACTTGGGACGGCCAACCATAGTAAGAAGTAGGACAAGCAGTTGAGTGGGGAATACGATGTTATTGTGGTGGAATTCAATTTTTTTTGGCTTAAAAGCGCTGGACATGCTTTGTGCATGTTGAACAACCATATATCACGTAGTTCTCGCAGTAAGACAGTGCCAACGTTGCCCCCAGTCATGCAAAGATGCTTCCGTTTGACTTGACTTGTATCACATTAATTAAAATTAACATCCGTTGGCTCTAATTCCCGCTCATAGGTGCTCCCACCTTCGTCTATAAATTCAGAACCCAGGATTTCGGTTGGAACACAGAAGCATTCAGAAGAATCTTTAGTTCTCAGACGGTTAATTTATTTACGAAACACGTTACAAGGACACCTTTACAGTGCTTCTTCTCACTACAACTTGTTTTGTGCTTCTAGATATCACCGTTCTTGCAGGAGAGTGAAATCGGGTTTGGGTGTATCACCGGCTGATTATGTAACATTAGCCGGTGGATGACTGTATTTGCTATGTTACATAACTGTGGGAATTTCCTTTTTGGGAAGTTCTAATGTAGCTGGAAAGCTCTAGATTAGCTCATTTGGGCACTATATAGATAATACTATTTGGTATTATTTACATTGAGATATAAGCAAAACAATTGCCAAATTTTCAAAACCACTAGGATTTTTCAAATATTTTGCATTTTTCTCATCAATAACACAGAATATTACTAGTATTCAAGTAGATTCAGGGTCATCAAAAGATGCTTTATCATTTTCTAAAAAGGAAATATTAGTCAGCAATATTTTTAAATATATTGCACAATTGTCCAAATGGACAGTTGTCCAACAAACTAAATACATCCAACAGCCATCTATATCACTCTACAACTATGCAGTTGTCCAAAAGGATAGTTGTGCACTCTGATGTATAACCTTTGTTGGACAATTGTCCATTTTTTATACTTCAGGATGGCAGCTACAGATGCCATTGCTGCTACTTGATTCAATGAATTCGAGACTGGGTGATCTGCGAATGAGGCCAGGAGGGGTGCAAGGTAGTGGAGAAGGGGAAGAATCAAGGTGCCAATTGGCCGCAGGAGAGAAGGGGTGCTGGCCAACTTCTGGGTCAATGATCGTCCCCTCTGATGCCTGATACTGGTTACAAAGTGCTGTCCATGCTGCATGTTGCCAGGAAAGGAAGCTGAGGGTGTCAGCCTGCCTCACAATGGCAGCGGAGGTGGAGCTAGAGAGTTCTTCTGCCTCTGTCAGCAGCTCCCAAATGTCACCAGCAGGGAGCATTGGGGTGGACACATAAAGAGGAGGGAGGGGATCTGACCAGCCGCAGGTGTGGGTACAAGTACAGGAGGTTCTTCGACTTTGTACGAGAGCAATGGCGCCCTTGGACAAAGTGTTATAAGGTCCAATTGAGGGAGCTGCTGTGCGACTAGCCTCTGGAAGGACTGGAGGGTGGATGGTGATGGGTTTGCCACTGCTGGTTGCCTGAGCCAGCAAACACAAACACAGCGCCTCCAAAGGAAGTGCCAGATGCTGCAGCATGGGGAGGTTGGTGGGATCGGAAATGAAACCTGTGGAGGGGTAGCGCCCAGCATTGATGTACTGTGCCCTGTCATAAATAATCCAGGTGGCATCACAGAAATTTACTTACATCCATCACCCATTCCTGGAAGTGGATGTCAATGGTGGTGCAGGTGGGTGCCGAACCCTCTCCAGTCCACCAATAGTAGGTCCCAGCTCGGTCTACCTCATCTACAAGGGGCTCGTCAATGAGGGGATCAAAATCCACATACAGGTTGGCTATTGCGTGATCGATGGCCATATATTTTTCAGATACTGGCCAGTTGGATGGCCAGAAGGAGATCAACAGGTCCTGCAGAAATGCCGGCTGGCGCACATTGAAACCCATGAGCACCGTCCATCCAAAATGCAGCAAATTCATTTTCTAAATTGGTCAGAGCAGCCATGGTCTAGATGCAATATGACACAACACACAAGTTCCATTTCAATAAAGTTGGACACATTAGGTGCGTTATGGTCATTGCAATTTTTCACCAAAGTAGCAATGGCAGTTTGCAGCCTTGTGCTAAGGTAGTTCGCCTTGAGGATGGAAAGTTGCTCTGTGTGCTGCCAGTTGTACTTCTCTGATGGGTCCATAGTGGAGGACAGATTAAAGCAGATGAAACAACCAATGAATAATCAGCAACGTAAAATCACCTGACTCAAGAAAGATGCCGAGCATGAGGAAGGTGGATGCCTGTGATGCAGAGGCACAGCATGGCTGTCCGCCCTCCACCACAATGCCAATGCCAATGGAAACCCACAAGCGCAGTGATGGTGGCAGGTTTGATCTTAATGCCAGGCTCTAGGGCTCTGACTCATCAGCCAGAAAGTTGAACACCTGTAGGAATGGGGGTGGGCCTCCAAGTGGGACTTAGGAAATTATCCAACCGCTGCAAATGGCCTTCTTGGAGCCTGAACAGAGGTGATGGTGTGATCTGAGAATGGGGATCAACCTTTGCAATGGTGATGGCAGAAACACTAAGCACCGGCAAGCGCAGAGCTTGCACCTTGGAGTATGATGGTATACATACACCCAAGTTAGAGGCAAGTGACTTATGAAAGCTATGACGGTGGTGTTGAGATCAATTCCACCATTGGGTCTCTCTGAACAGGCATCCGGAGCCTAACTACAGTGTCAGTCCATCATAGAACAGCAGTACTCAAACCCAAGTGCTACCATTGTCAGGGGATGTGCATTGGACAAACCTGGTGCATAATACTGCTTTGACCCTTCAAGCCAGTTTTTAGCTGACATTTCATGACAGAGATGTCCATTTGATCGCATCCGCTATGCACCAGCACCTAACATAAGCTGCAGCCAGCTGAGTGATCTGACACAATCTGTTTGCTAGTTACCTCAATGATGTGGACAAATTGACTAGTGCCACCTGAGCTACCGCAGCCCCCAAACGTGCTTGTTATCAACCTCAAGGTTGACAGTAAAACCAATAAGAGGGTCCTTTGCTCCTTAAGGGTCAGTCACTGGATTGGAAAGCAGACCCTATACGAGGCGGCCAATGAGGAGGAGCTCCAACACATGAAATCTGTCATGGAATGTGTTCTGGACCAGGAGGGGAATCTGCTCAATGAGTGCGGCGCTGAATCGCAGGATATTTTTTTTGGTTTTGAAGATGATCTAGAGAGACTGGGCAAATTGGTTCTTCCTCAGATCAATCTCCAGGTATTTTTTAAAGTCTCCTGTTGTGTTTTCATCGTTTACCAAATTCATTTAATCAGGTCTATCTGACACCCAAAGGCCAGGATCTTTCCACCATCAAATTCAAAAAAATCTATTTTGTTAGGCAGTTGGACAAAACAGACAATGGCAAAGCTATTGAGCTCACTATCTTGCTGCACAGCTCATCCATTTAGCCAAGGCCTGCATCCAAGATGAGAATGACAGGTGGAAGGCTGGGCTGAGTGGGCTGAAGAGGGCCCTATCCAAGGAAACAGAACTGGTGATTTGAGTGAGATCAGAAATGAACAGATGCTTCGACAAGATGGAGGGGGCAAATCTCAAAGTTGTGCTGGTCGCTAGGAAGAAGCAGAAGATAGGGAAAGAGGAGAGAAGGACAAGGTCAGGCAAATAGTCTCTGTTGCTGGCATCCACCCTTATCAATGACATCGAGCATCGTCACCGCCGTCGATCATCGTCGCCACCCTCAAGCATCCACACCACCCTCAAGCATCCACACCACTATCGCCTTCTATCTGCCTCCCTGCATTGTCCTCTCGACAGCTCTCCCTGCTCTGTCTGTCTGTATTATGTCCCCATCATTTCTCATTTCTCAGCACACAGATGCCCCCTTGCGGTCCCTTTGCTAGTACCCAGGTGCTGCACAATAGCAGAGAGGTGATCGCCGGGTGGAACAATCCTTGCAAGACTTGAAGAAACCGCCTCTATCCCCACCACCAAATTCACACTTTATCTCTGAACCACAAATGTCTGATAAAAAAAGAGTTGCCTCTTGTAGATTCTGTTGCCTCGCAATCCTCCAATCATCTGTAGCTGCCACCCTGAAGTATAAAAAATGGACAATTGTCCAACAAAGGTTATACATCAGAGTGCACAACTATCCTTTTGGACAACTGCATAGTTGTAGAGTGATATAGATGGCTGTTGGATGTATTTAGTTTGTTGGACAACTGTCCATTTGGACAATTGTGCAATATATTTAAAAATATTGCTGACTAATATTTCCTTTTTAGAAAATGATAAAGCATCTTTTGATGACCCTGAATCTACTTGAATACTAGTAATATTCTGTGTTATTGATGAGAAAAATGCAAAATATTTGAAAAATCCTAGTGGTTTTGAAAATTTGGCAATTGTTTTGCTTATATCTCAATGTAAATAATACCAAATAGTATTATCTATATAGTGCCCAAATGAGCTAATCTAGAGCTTTCCAGCTACATTAGAACTTCCCAAAAAGGAAATTCCCACAGTTATGTAACATAGCAAATAGTTGTTTAAAAGACTTTTCACTACATCAAACAAATTTCCAAAAAAAGAAATTCCCACAGTCATGTGACTTGACAAAAATAGTTGCTTACAAGAGGCTTTGGTCAACTGTCTATACCAACAATAAACTGGACTTGGATAAATTTTTGCAAAGTCTAACTTAGCATTTGTGACAGTCACACTGATGAGATCAGCAATAAAGATGGCTCTATATCTCATCAGTCACACCAGTATCAGGCGTCATCACTTCATATTTATTAATTGTTTCCATTTGAGGCCAGAATATCAGGGTTGCAGAAGCCAAGCCTGATTAAAAAGGCATTTAAAAAGTCACATGATCCTCTGATCAGACTTGGTGTTGTGGGCCATTGCTTTGCATGGCAGTTACGAGTTCTTTTTTTCTGTCTTATGTCTTTATCCATCACTTTTATTGTGCTACTTAATTCATCCCTACTATCTACATACAGCAAGTCTACCTATGCCTTGGCATAAATGGTGCACACAGCACGCCTCAAATTGCACTTCATCAGCTTTTTATCAGTATATTCTGCCACAGCACCCTCCAGAATACAATTTCTCTCAGTTTCAATTCCATCATAATACCAGACATCTCCTATATCTGAAATAATATGGGCTGTGAAATGATTAGAGCCAGCATAGATCACACCTTGCAGTGGAAGAATGTGCTTTCTTCCATCAATAGTATGTGACTTGACTGATTTGCTAATTGCAATTCCTGTAACCTCAATATTGAATACAATGATCTTTGGAGGTATGTTGTATAGCTGCTGGACTTGTGCATTTGATCCACAAGTTTTGCAATGTTCCTCTGAGGCCTGCCAATTTTTAAAGGTAGCGCTCACAGTTTTGTCAGCTGATGACTGTATAAAAATATGACTCTGAGGAGCAGTATCCAACTCTGTAGTAGAAGAACAAGACTTGCATATTTTTTGTCCAGTCCCAAGCTGTTGTCCATCTTGAAAGAGTGTGCCTACCAACTCACATACATCTGTTCCAGTCATCCCATAAGGGAATGCTTGAGGACTTCTGGTATGTAGATTCTTTCTGACTCTGTCACGAATTTCTTCAAATCCAGCTCTGCTACGTATAACTTCTGAAAATCCATTTGAAAGCTGCTGGCCATAGAGAAGATATTTTGATAGATGGAATGACCACTTTGTTGGACCTCCGGACCAGAGGTAAAAGAGAATAGTGAAGAGAGAATCATATGAGCAGCTATAGTCTACAGAGTCCCATTTCAAGCCAAGAGGCATTTCCTGAGACTTATTCTTTGTTTTCTGCTGTTTAGCTGGTTTAGTATCATTGTCAGAATTCAATTTCTGCTTCACAGTCTGTTTTGCTGCAGTAATAGGATTGGATCCTTGAGCAGGAATGTGTTAGCAAGCATTTGTTTAGAGTCTTTACTGGCCTTGATAGCAGTAGTCCATTTTGCATCATTGACAGGCTCAATTACCATCATTGGATCAGAGAAGGACCATCGTAGAGCAGAATCAACCTTAATAGGACAGTAGTTTTGTCCCTTCAACTCTCTGTACTGCTTGAGAAGAATTTTACGGAGAGATCCATTGATTTCTTTTGGGAGCTTTCCTAGAAATCTCTGCAGAGTAATCTCATCTAGTAGTTCAAGCTCTCGAAATTCCTGTCTTAGATGGCCTGATGCTCCAGCCTTAATGCACTCATCATCAAATCCCTGAATAATTATTGTACCATCTGCAGTAGACCCTCTAGAAAGCACTGTATAATATGCCATGTGGTTACAACAGCTGTTTAGATTAACAACATTGAATTTTTGGGTCTTTCCTTGAGATGAGTAGTCTGTCATTGCAAAATTGGGCAATATTGAAACCTGTGAACGATTAATTGTCAATGGCATTTTCAAACCTTTGCATTCAACACTTCCAGACAATCTTGTAAGTGGCACTACATTCTCAGGCAATCCTTCCAGCTGAATAGTACAGGCTGGATTGTCCAGGCGAACAAACAAGGTATCCAAGACTCACGGTCTGCGGATGTGGGTGTTGGGCAGGGCTCAGCTCTCTCGCCTGTTATCTCTGGGCTGTTCATTGCTCTGGTAATGAAGCTCTTCTACATCAAAGCGGCGCCACTCAACATGACGCTGCTTTCCTTTGTGGATGACAGGACCATTCTGGCCCATCCAAACAACTTGATGATAATAATGTGGGCCTGGGTAAGGCCTACAAGATTATCTACCTTCTCTTTGTTGCCTTTGCACTTGTCCTTGAACATGACAAGACCGAGTTGTTCCACTTTTCGTGTCGATGAGACACCTACAATCCCTTGCTGGATCTGGGGTATGCCCCACATACCGGTGCTACACCTTTGAAGCCCAAGACCTATTGGAGGTACCTGGGCTTCTACTTTGACCGCAGGCTCACCTTTCATGAGCACGTCTGCTACTATGCCACTAAGGCGTTCACCACCGTGCAGGCTATGTGCATGCTCGGAAACTCTACCAGAGGTCTCTCACCTAAACAGCAGCGCCTCCTCTACAGATTGTGTGTGGTTCCCATTGCCACATATGGTTATCGTCTCTGGTATTACAATGGCGCCCATAATAAGGGTGCGATGAACCAGCTGAAACGGATGCAGCAGAAAGCTGCTCTATGGATCACGGGTGCTTTCCGCACCTCACCTACAGGCGGTCTTGAGGCCTTGGCAGGTCTCATCCCATCCACCTTATGCTGAAGAAGCTGGCAACGCGCGCGCAGTATACCGTGTCGCCACCCTCTCGGACACCCACCCCCTTTGCTCTATGATGGGCGAGGGACTCCTTAGACGAGCCGCACCACATGCTCGCTCAGCCGCCTTGATGACCCCAGCCATGCGAGGGAAAGTCAAGAGCACCGTTATGGAGGTGGACGAGCATGTCCACACCTTAACTGAGAGCTTCGAGCCCTTTGCGCCTGAAGCTCGCCCAGGTGATCGGTTACTGGACCACTATACGGACTGTCTCCACTTTGACGAGCGCGATCCTGCCCAGGATAGGCGACCATATCTAGACGAGCTCATTGCGAAAGCGAGGGCTGACCCACTAACAGTACTGGCTGCAACTGATGGCTCTGTCCCTCAGTCCAACCAGTATCAGGCGGCTTCAGCAGCCATCATCTACAAGGGACATCGCGAGCTTGAAAGGACTCATTATGTCTCTGGCAGAGTTACCACCCCAGATGCGGAACTCAATGCCATCTCATGTGCAGTGCGCCTTGCTGTCAAGCAGGCAAACTGCCAACATATTATGGTCTTTACTGACTCTATGGGCTGAGCCCATAGAGCGGTCGACCCTTCCGTGCACTCTGGTCAGGCTTTCAGCCTGTCAGTTTGTCACGCTCTCCAAGAGTGGTTTGAGGCGGATGATCTCCGCTGCATCACCTTTATCTACGTTCCCTCTGCTTTGCGGTGGGATATCCATGGTGAGGCACACAAGTATGTCACCGAACTCAAAGTCAGGGTTGGACATCGCAAGACGGACAACTCTATAGACGCGCTACGCTCCTGAGCCACGCACTCAGTCCTGGATTCGTGGAGTTCCACTTTCCAGGATCCAACCTACCGAGGCTCTGAATTCTTAGAGCTTCAACAGCCTGACAAGCAGCCGCTACAGCCATCGTACCTCAATGGGGGACCTTGGCTTTCAACATTCGGACACAGTATCACTGAGTTCGCTCGCGTTTGCCGGTGTATAACTGGCCACGCGCCCATTGGGGCGTATTACCGTCGCTTCAAGATCAATGAGCCTCATGGCTGCACTTGTGGGGCTGCTTTGCAGTCTCGCCAGCACATCCTCTTTCGCTGTCGCGATTGCTACTCCATGCATTACCCCCGCTTTCTTGGGGATATTGCATCTTTTATGAAGTACAACTCCACAGTGTTTGGCTTCAACCAGGACCCTTCAGGTGTCAGATAATCGCTGCGGGCAGGGTTATTCCTCCTGTTGGAGGATTTATCAGTGAATTGACATCCTCGGACCTTAGAGTTCGGAGACCTGCACCTGTCTCACTCTGTCACACTTGCGGCCGCTATTATAGCGTGTTGCAGCGCCGCTAACTTTCTGCGTCTGGTTTCAGGCAGGCGCATCTTTGGCTTGTTGGCCTCAAGACACCCCGCCACCTCCCGGGTGGTGCTGTTTTATTTCATTTGCGCTGCGTGGCCTCCGAACAGTGTTCGATGGCTCTGGGGTTTAGCGGGGCCTCAATGGTCTCTTTCCCTTATCCTGCGTCACTGTTTTCGCAAGGTGGGTCTGGCTTTGTGGGAGTTTCAGTGTTTGAGCCACAAGGCTCACAGTTGGGGGGGTGGATGTCTTTTAGTAGTTTACTTAGTACCCAGGCTGCGTAGCGTATGTGTTTGTAGATAGCAAGCGGGCTGCCATCGAGCACCGCTATATAAATTGTTGATAAAAAAAAAAAAAAAAAAAAAAGGTATCCAAAATCTGCTGGCCACTAGGCCCTACACCAGACTGCCAGCCTGCTACAAAACCTTCTTGGCCTTTGATGATGCACAGCTTGGTAGCATCGTTGTTGTGAATAATCACAGGCATGCCTAGACACAGTGATAGCTTACTGGCAATGCCTTCAGTAGCAGAATGTCTTAAATTCCAAATTACATCTTGGAGTCTATCTGGAATGGATACCTGCTTTCTCTGCTTTCTTTGCCGCATCAAGCAGAGTTCAACAATATCTGCCTGAGAATTATCACTCATAGTATCGATAGAATAGAAGTGGGTAAGCTGCTGTCCTATCTCCTCAGCAAATCGTTGACTGCCGAGATGGTTAATCCGGTCTTTCTCAGTGTTAAGGCCTACAATAATGGACACATTGCGGAAATTTGCTACTGCTGATATCAGGTTGGCCAGGTTGCTTTCCAGCAATTCTTGTATGAAGAAAGTCAATATCATCAAGAGTGCATGCTGGATAATGCATATTTTCCAGTGCAGTTTGGAGCTTCTTGTCTTCTGGAGATTGCATCTTCTGTCTCATATTTTTCCATAGAATAACCGTTGTTGTAATCTGGTGCCACAGAGCCTTTCCAATTGCATTCTGTTGGCCTGCCTCAGTCATTGATGAATCAATGGTAGTACCAACAGTTGCACTATACAATGCTGCTCCCCAGACAGGTGCTAGCTGGGCAAAATCTCCAGGAAAAATCATATTCACTCCACCAAATGGAGAGTCATAATTGTCTCTTACCTTTGCAAGTTGAGAGCTAATCTTATATATGTCCATGCAAGATACCATTGAGACTTCAACAAGAAATATGTAGTCAGTACCATCAAGACGATTGTGAACTTGAGCTAGCAGCTTATGCTCATTCATTTTCCAGGTACCATCTGACTGAATACCAAGTGCAGAGTGATAAGTTGAACCATTTAATAATGCAGCTGCAGAGCCTGTTGGGGCTAAGATTAGTATTCGATGAGACTCCTTTCTCTTTGCAAAGAACAATATCAATGCTTTAATAACCTGAGACTTGCCTGTACCACCCATACCTCCAAGATACATCTTAAGCTGCTCAACTTTTCGGAGTGTAGCATGATTGGCTACTATACGAAATGCCTGCTCTTGCTCTTCATTCAAGGAGAATTCACTGATGGTCTCATCAATAAAGGTTTGCTCCTCAGCTTGCTTGGCTTTGAATTTCTTATCAATATAAGACATTGGAGAGACAACAACTTCATCTATGTATCCATCTCCAGCCTCAATGTCTTCAGACTTTGATGAACTGCTAGGAAGATGTTCATTCCTTTTACGAAGAATAAGCTGCTTAGCAGTTGCAACAATTATGTTCCACTTGGTACTCGGAATGATATCTTGGAGCTGGATGCTTGAAATTTCAATTGGAGACAGATTTTTCAATTTGCTTAGCCAGCCTATATCTGTAATAACTTTCTGAATGTCAGCCATTTCCTTCTCATGATAGGAATCCTCATTGAGCAGGTCTGGCAGGAAATTGTCTTCATCAAAGTCAATGACTGGGCCATCATCATTGTATTCCATTATTCCCTTGGTGTCATCAAGCTTGCGCACTTCTTCATCAGTCATCCATGAGGACATGAGTCCAGTAGTCAAGGAATCCTTCTTGAGCTTAGCACTGTAGTCATCTCGTGAGTCATTGCATTCATACCTAAGATTGAAGTTACCTATAATTTCTTTCTGACGTGGAGAGAACTTGTGCAAGTAGAAGGCATTATCCCAGGTCTGAGTAGCATTCTTTAGATCCAATCCACTCCGCCAAGGCTTGAAAAGTGTGAGCATTGTTGAGCAATAATATTCACGATCACCTTGATTGCTTCTTGGAAGTGTTCCACCTAGAAAATTTGGAACTACAAGAGGATCATCCTTCACAAGCATCACTTGATGTGTCTTATACTGTGGATGTTGAGGGAGGAATGAAAATTTCTTTCCATTGCAACTTTCATTCAAAGGCTTGTCAATGATATTGAGTTCGTCCTCAGTCTCATTGGATTTTCCACCACCTACAGAGTCTACAATGTTCAGCTCATCCTCACTTTCAGAACCAGCTAAATCATCTGATGCCTGAAATGATAATTTCTGAAGAAACACTTTCTTTTCCTTGGGTGTTCTCTTTGACTTTTTGACACATCGAATCCACTCATATAGGCTGATATCTTGGTATTGTGTAGGCCGATAGATGTAGTCTTGGACTTTGGAGAGACCTACATATTTGCCCAAGTTTTTATTGAGGATGACCTGCTCCTGTTTCTCATCTTCTGCTTCTGCTTCCCATATCTTTCGTGCCTCTCGAACATAAGCCTTCCAGTAGACATTCTCAAATTTGTGCTGAGTATAGTGATCAGGATTTTGAAGCAGGTACAGAGAAGCCATAGGACTTCCTATCTCCATTTTTGCTGTTAAATGATTCACCATCTTTGTCATGAGTGATCTTGCTATTTCTCAGCGGTCCAGTGAGCCACCAATAAGCTCACTATTATGAGCGTAGATTTGACGTACCGTATCAAATACAGAATAGGTTGTCAGTCCAGGTTTTGTTACATAGTCTGTTACATAGGCAACAATTGCTTTAACAGCTGTTCCAGATAGGAGACTTGTAACATCGGTGTTGGAGCGAAAAAGATAGCTAAGGATAGGAGTGAAAGTATTCATCCATGCTTCACCCTTTTTCATCTTCAGCGCTCCACTCAATGGATCAACCATAGTCTCTGGAATGACATCTCGAGGAAAGCGGGCACGACATTGACCATGTTTATTAAGACATCCCTTTCTGATTGTGCGCCCACTGCTGTCTTCAGATGTTCAGCGACAGTCATGATAGTTAGAACGGGAGAGAATGTCATCAGTTGTCTCATTGAATTTCTTCCACCATAATTCAGAAGCTGTACAGTTGGTGCAGATGTTATCTGTATTGGTTGTCTTTTCATGCTTGCACAAAGCAGGTGGTGCTTCAGGCATAGTCTTAGTAGGATCGGAGTAGTCTGAATTCTTTGAATTCTCCTTGACACAAGATCGTACTTCATCTAGAGTGCCTGAATGCATTTCTCCCTTGTGTACACTTTCAAGATATTGAACCATTCTTGTCTGAAAGTCAGAGGTATTATCCATAATATGTTTACGGACAAAGAATCTGTTG